AAAAAGGGAAATTGAAATTGAAAATAAAAAAAAAGAAAATGAAGAAATTGAAAGAATGGAACAAGAAAAAAAATTATAGAATTTGAAAAGTTGAAAATGGAAATGACAGAAATTAAAAGAATAGAACAAGAAAAAAAAGAAATAGAAATTGAAAATAAGAAAAAAGAATATGAAATGGAAATTGAAAGAAAAGAAGAAAATAAAATTGAAAAGAGAAATGAAAATAGAATGGGAAGCGGAAAGGAAGAAAATAGAAGAAATAGCCATAAAGGAAAGAGAAGAAAAGGAAAAGATTGAATTAAAGAAAAAAGAAGAGGAAATACAGAAAATAGAAATGGCAGAAATGAAAATAAAAATAAAGGAGTTGGAGGAGAAAATTGTAAATAAAAGAATAGAACAAAATTATAAAAGTCAAAAAGAATGTTATAATTGTGGAAAAGTTGGGCATTTAAGCAGAGATTGTAATGCAAAAATAAATCAAGAAAGATTACCGAAAATGTGTAAAAGATGTGGAAATAAGGGGCATAATGCGGAGGAATGTTACGTTCCGGCGTACAAATTAATAAATGAAGATCAAAAACAGTGTGAAAATGGTGGAAATTTAGGGCATAATAAAGATAGTGGTTATAAAAATGAACCAGATAGTTCCAAGGCGTTTCCAGTGGTGAAATATGTAGGAAATGAACAGAGAAATACATTTAAAAGAATTGATAAAGAGTATATAACTTGTTATATAGTAGAAGTATTGGTCATTATGCAAAGGATTGTACCGTAGAATGACTGTATGATAGTAAAGTAAATATACCAGGAGGAGTGTCATCAAAAGAAAAGATGGATCATGAAGTAAATTTAATAAAGGATAATGAACTAAAATTAAAAAAAAAGAATAAATAAAAATGAAAATGAAAATTGTGAATTTTATGAAAATATATTAGAGAATTTAAAGCAGGAAAATCAAATATGTGATTTACCTATATTTAATTTGAAGGATAGTGGGAATTATGATCAATGTCCATGGGTTAAAATTGATATAGAGAATAAAGAAATATGGATGTTATTAGACACAGGAGCAACAATTTCAGTAATGGGATATGATGAATTTCGTAAAATATGGCCGGATAAATTTATAATTAAAGATAGAATGATAGTAAGACAGTTAAATGGATCTGAAGTTGTGGTGTTGGGAAGGGTAAATTTAACGGTTTTTATAAATGAAGAAATAATATATTTGGATTTGTGGATATTAAAAGAAAAAATTGGCGCTATTATAGGATGGTCTTGGATATCAAATTTTGGGTTAGAAAATAATTTTTGGTATATGTTTCAAGAAAAAAATAAAAATGAGGAAAGGATTAGAATACCAAAGATGGCTACGAAAGAAAGGGGTATCAAAATGAAAAATAAAAAAAAAGAGAATGTGATTATTGAGAAAGTTGAAGTGTAAAAAGTAAAATTTAATAAGCTGGAAATTTGTGATAATATAAAAAAAGAAATATTAGAGAATAATATAATGAAACTGAATAAAATTAAAAATTTAGTAAGTAATGTCAAAGAACAAAGTGAGGAATTTGAAAATATGATAATTGGTGATCTGGAAATTAGTGATAATATAGAAAAGGGAATTTTAGAGGATAAAATAATGAAAAGGGATAAATTTAAAAATTTAGTAAGTAATTTAGAAAAAGTTCAGGAAAATGTTGAAGTTTTTAAGGATGAAATATTGCAGGAGGAACCTGATGTTTCAGTTAGGAATAGTGAATTAAATATAATAAATAATCAGGAATTTGAGAAATTTATTGATTTAAAAACGATAATAATTTAGTGAATACAGAAATTGTTAATTTGGTGGAGATTTGTGGTAAGGAATTGATTTTGGAAGAAGAAAATAAAGGAGTTTCAGAGGAATGGAAAGTAAAAAAAGGTTATGTGAATGAAGAGGAAATATATAAGGATTCAAATTTAGAGAGAGAGAAAATACCTGTATCGCAAAAATTTCCGGTGAAATTGGTGAGAAAAAAAATTGATGAGAATGTAATAACAGAAATTGATGAAAGTCATAATTTAAAAATTTTAAAAGAGTCCGTTAAGGATTTAGTAAATAAATATAAAGAGATTTTTAGTGAAGAATTAGGTTGTTTAATAGATTATGAAGTAGATATACGTTTGAAGGAAGGATATATTCCACAGTATTGTGCTGTACGTAGAGTGCCTTTTGAATGGAGAGCAAAAATGGAAAAAGAATTAGATAAGTGGTTAAGAGATGGGATAATTTGTCCGATTGGATATAGCGAATGGGCAACTCCATTAGTTCCTATAAGGAAAGCGAATGGCAAGTTGAGAATTTGTGCGGATTTCAGAGTAACTTTAAATCCATGGGTTGTGGAAATAAAGTATCCGTTACAGAGAATTTAAGAAATTTTAGCGAATTTGAAAGGGGCGAAGTATTTTTCAAAAATTGATTTTTCATGTGTGTATTTACAGTTACATATGAAAGAATCTACGAGGAAATTGTTAACCATAACGACGTTTAAAGGATTGTTTACGTTTTGTAGATTGCCATTTGGACTAAGTGTTTCAGCACCGATTTTTCAAAGGACAATGGCTGCTGTTTTTCAAGGGTTAGAAGGTGTTTTTTATTATATGGATGACGTATTGATTACGGGAATAACGGTAGAACAACATAATCAAAGGTTAGAAGAGGTGAATGAGTAAAAAATGGGAAAAGGGAATAGTTATAGAGAATGTAGGAAATAAAGTATTAAAAGTTAGATTGGAAGACCATAGTGAGGTTACGAGACATAGAAATCAGTTAAGAGTACGAGTATAATGGAATAATAATATGTAAAAAAAAAAATTGGTAATTGGAATAATAATATGTGTAAAAAATTGGTATATCGAATAGAAAATTTAAAAAAAAAAAAATTCAAAAAAAAATAAAATAAATAAATAAAAAAGTTTTTGGGAGAATTTGGACCTAATAGGGCAGCCAATCTTAATTTGTGGACCGTTAATGTAAATATATATATATAAAGTGGGTAGAAAATAAATGAAATCGGTAGAAAAATCAAATGCTTGAGGGTTCAAGTGGCCATAGGAATATCGCTAAAGAATTAGATAGGTAATGTATTACACGCGGTATATTTGTGAAATTATTTAAAGAATTCAATTTAGGAGAGAATTGGTAAAAGGAAAAATAATAATAAAGATTGAAAATAGCATAAAGAGATAATTAATTAGAGGAGTATAGAGTTGTAAAAAATTAAATAGGAATTTGTGATAGTTAAAGAATAAAAAAAAGAGATATGTAATTTAAAAATAGTAAAAAGGGGGAATTTTATTTTTACTTTGGCAATTGAGGTTAAAAGGAGAAGAAAAAAGAAAACAACTGGTAGGGTAGCATGTAAACTCTTTGATAAAATTATATGTAAATTGTTTGATTTTTTTAAAAAAAAGAAGAATATTGTGTTATGTTTTCGAGTTAAGTAGGTTTGGTATGTAAATTGTTTTGATGGTTAAAGAAAAAGAGAAAGTTGTGTATATTTGTTTTTGAATTGAATGTGTTATAATAATAATAGTAATTATTATTTTTATTTGTGGTGAAAGGAAAAAGAATAAAGAAATTAGGGGTAGTGTCCATTTTAAATAATTTGTGTTGTAATTTTTTTTTTTTTAAATCAAGAGGTAAAAAAAAGGGAAATATTAAAAAAAAAATATATATATATATATTCGGCCATGGAAATCTTATACATGGCCGAATATATATATATATTCGGCCATGGAAACCTTATACATAAAAACGAATCGAAATATGCTACGAATAAATTCATTAGAGATGGCCAATCCTTTATCAATGAAATGGCATGATGCCTAGATAGAACAGCAAACTGGAGAGGGAGCTCCACCGTTAATTTCGATTGGTCCTACGTCCTTACAAGGAAGAACCTCTCAACATGCAAATTTCATGACTAGTCCGGTGCATACGTCATTGCAAGGAAGAACTTCTCAACATGCAAATTTCATGACTGGTCCGGTGGCCATACAAGCGAGATAGACCGGAATGAGGGAAGTAAATTTGAATTGTTTCAACTCTGGGGGAAGGGGGCACAAGGCCCGGGAGTGCGCTAGCGGATCGAGCAATTTGTGTACCTTCAATCAGGGAATCCATCGTTGGGCAGGAGGGCAGCCCCGAAGTGTGTTCGAGGAATCAAGATCGTTTGCAAGAGAAGCGGAGGAGTTTGCGGAAAGGCAAGAGTTATTCAAATTTCGGAGGGCTGCTGAGATCGAGAAAATGAAGGAAGTCTCAAGTGAACGAAATTCGAATTTAGCTGCACAGTTAGAAAAAATGAAAGGAATTCCCCATGGAGGAAATTCGAATGTTGCGGTAAATAAAAGTGTTAATGCTAATGGGACTGAAGTTAAAATGAGTGATTCCTTAGAGGATTTACTCATTAATACTCAAGTGCCATGAGTTTTTTTTTTTGTTAATGATGTGAATTTTTTTTAATGATGTGAATTTTTATAAATTTGGTTATATGGATTAGCAATCATTTTTAGCATGTACCCTGGAGTTTATCCTTAGAAGGGGGTACATGTTGTAGTAAATAAATAAATATATTTTTTTAAAGAAATATAGCGATTTTATTGGTATGTTTATATGTGAAAAGAAAGAAAAATGAGGTCATTGATTTTTTTTTGATATATCTTTTTTTTGGTAGTTCGCGAGATAAATATATGTAATTTTATATATTCGATATACATTATATATTTTTGGAATTGATTAATAAAGGAATAAAAAAAAATATTTTTGTAATCTCTACCGTTTGATTTAAGGAAATATAAAATATTAGTAATCGCCACAGTTTGATTTAAAGAAATAAAATTATAGTATCTTAAAATCAAATCGCTGCACTAATCATTTTTTTAAATAAATAAAAAGTATCAAATCAAAAAAAATAAAAATTGCATATAAGTCAAGGATTAGCTCTGGAAAGAATGGTTATGTTTTATCATTCATATTGCCACATGACATTTAAAAAAAATTATTAAAATTTTTTGTTCCAATAAGAATGAATGAAAAGGATAATTTATTGCAGTTTCAGGGTAACAATATTTTTTTTTATCATTTCATTGGTTATATTTTAGATTATAATGCTGAAGATATAGCTGAAAACTCATCTATGACATATCCTAATCAACAAATCAATGATTATGAAATGAATGTAATATACTAAATCTTTTATGTTTTATACATATTTATCTAGAAATCTGATGCAACTATAACTGCAGCAAATTTTTTGAAATTTGATTTCTATAAAAAGTTTTTTCAAATTGAATCAGAGGATGTTATTAGTAGAATAAAGTTCTCATTATTGCCATTACCAAAAAATTTTCATTTAGAAAACATTAAGTCAAACCCAGACTTGTATGGTAATTATCATTTTAAAACTTGCAAGTCATTTTAATATTCTTATGCACTTAATATTTTTATCTCAAAAATATAAAAATTATTTATTAGATTGAGTTTCACATATTTGTTTTAATTTATAATTGAAAATGATCAAAATTATATAAATCTAGACTTTTATTGTTTAAGAAATTTACTCTATTAAAATTAAACTTGACATAGATTTTTAATCTAGACATATACGCAGTGAGGGGGTGGGATCATCTTGCCATTTGTATTATCTATCTTGACCACCTCATAGTTTCCAAGCAAAAGCATGCTAAAACCTCAGATGTTAATTACAGTTTATGTATTTTGAGATCAATGTGCTAAAATATTTTGAGGTACACCAAATTATCATTACATGATCAAGCTGTGGGGTTCATTTAAAAAAATACACATTATAAAGACACAATTTTATAATTTAATTTTAAAATAATTATATTTTATATTTATCAAGGTCCCATTTGGATATGCATCACTTTGATAATATCGTTATCTATTTTCGAAAATATTGGTAATTTTATAAAATTTTATGGACATCATGGAAATGGGTGGGTTTCCGATTTTGGAAAAAGTAGTTTTATTTATTATTATTAGATTCTTTTTTAAAAATTTTTCTCCAATAGTACCAAGTGCTGGCCTGGCAATTTTAATATATGCCTGGGTCATACCCTCATTACTTTATGTATATGTAAAGTTGAAGAATAAGTCTATTAGTTTAGGATATTCAGAACTATTATGTCTGTATGGATATTCCTTAGCCATATTCATTCCTACAACCGTAAAAGATATTATTATTTATTTAGTTTAATAGCCCTTTAATTTGTATTCCTATATATTACTCATTCAATACCTTTAATATTTAATTTAATTTAAAAAAATAGTTTGTTTGTGTGGTGAATAAGAGTTGGTTACAATGGATTGTTCTGATTTTATCTGGGGCTGTATCATTTGTCATGGTAGCACAATCCATATGGCCAACTTTGACTGACATCAAAAAGATTTACAATTTAATTCTATTTTCTATAATACTTACTTGCCAGATTCTATTTGTTTTCGTACTCAAAGTATATATTAAAAAATTTAATTTTATATAATATTATAAATAGCACTTTTTTATAAGCTAAATTGGATGAATACAAAAGTGATATCAGGATATATGCTTTGCTTTGAAATATACATTTTTTATTATCATATTTATTATTTACTAATATTTTAAATACTTATTATTTTTATTATTTGCTCGAAAATATTTTTTTAATATGATGTATCATTTCTAAATAAATTTATACTCAATAAATTTTTATTCTTGTGGTTATTATTTTTATTGATCAGAAAATAATCGATTATACAGTGAGACTGAGAAGGATATAATTGCAATGTTTTAGATAAGGATCTTCTCAATATACTAATTAATTATTAAACAATTGCCTTATTTCATTAAGATAGTAAACTATAATTAACATTAATTTAACAGAATAAAACTTTATAGATTTTATAAAGATTTTTTTTAATTCTTGATTTCATAATATAAGATTTTTTATTCATAAAAAAAACACATAAGATTTGGAATTTTAGGTAAAGTTTGATGTAAAATCCTATATGCGATGCATAAAGAATGATTAATTTTTTCTATTACTTCTATTTTTAGCAATCTATTTAAATCTTCTTCAACTTTTTCTTATGCCAATGGTTCTGGACATGATTTACAAAAAAAAATTTTATATATATATTTGTGCCTTAAAATCTTTAAATAGCCCAATTCTTTTGTAAAAAATTGAGGAAATTCATTTTGTATATTAATGTTATTTATTTGTATCTTTCATGTATTTCAGTCATTTTTGGAAATTTAGTTATCCAGTTTCTTCCAATTATATTTTTTGTATATCCTTATGTAATTATGAGATCTAATTCGCTTTTTATATAGTACTCTACATTATGACCTAATAGTCAAGCGCGTACTCATCGGGGGGGGGGGGCAGGGAGACAAATCTCCCCCCCCCCTCAAATCCAAAAAATGCAGATGCCTGATATATTTTTCATAAATATTATTCATATTAAATATATATTTAATTACAATTATTTATCACATTCATCTACTAAGTTATTTTATCAAATAATTTCGATTTCAAGTTTTCATTGAACTAATATTTACCTATTATTTTCAAATTTCTAGCGGCGTTATCTTTATATACCATTTCCATATTTCTAATCAATAATTTTTCTGAAACTCCTTGTCCAACAGGGAGAAAGAAATTGCAAGCTTGTCCAACAAGATGCGGTCTCCACCATCAAGCAGTAACAGATTTTATGGATTTAGAAGAGCCGATTATCAATGCTTTTACTGAAATATCACAATGGCCTGTAAGAAATATTTCCTCAGAAGCAAGGAAATTATTGGATTCAATACTTATTTCAATTTTTTTCTCATTAGAATGCATTATTTAATTATACAACTATTTTATGTAATACTTTCCAAAAACATGGCATTAACTTGATTAAGAAGATGAGAATAACGGAGAGCATTTTATTACAACTCAAGGAAATTAGGGCTAATATTGATGAAGAATTTCAATTTTATATTAATGTTTAGTAAAAAGGAGAGCTATACGTGTTTAATATTTGTCTCCCTCGACTTGCAGCAAGGCAAGTTCATCGTCAAAACATTAGTATAAGATCAGTAGAAATAAAACTATAATCCAAAAAAATGAATGATTTTTAATTCATCATGCAGCACTTACCAATCTGCAGACTTCCACAAAAGCCTTCCCAATCTTTTTCAGATGGTGATAGAAAAAAATAAGATTTGTTTGATGCCTTATTAGCTAAATAACTATGTTTAAAAGGTTAACTAAGATATAGTCCCAAAAAATGCTATGGATGCTTTGTATAATCTCAAACACATTGTAGATTATATTCCCAATGTATTAAAATGATTATATATATAATAGCAACTCTTCCCAGTAGTAAACTAATGAGAGAACATTCTCTTTTCTAAGAAGAATAACAGAGCCCTGCAGAAGTACCAGCAGGGCACGGCTCGGATTTTTTTTCAAAATTTATATCGGCCCGGCTTTAAAATAAAATTTTCAGGCCAGGCCTAGGTGTTTTTTTAAAAAAATTTCGGGCTCGGCCTTAGTATATTTAAAATTAAAATACGGTCCAGCCCGGGAACCGGGCCTGCAGTTCTCTGAAAAGCATACCTAAGAAGTACAACTTCTGACAGTGGATTAAATGGTTTGGATCTTTTAAATATTCATAGGCATTTGTCGCCAAGCAAGGATGAGTAATTGAAAAATTAGCTCAATCCTTACGAAGATTGAATTTTACATTGTAAATATATAATATACAAAATACAATTATTTCTAAGAAACATTTTGTGTATTAATATTTTATTTCCAACATTTAAATTTTTTATACATTATATATAAATTTTAAAGCAAAAAAATTAAATTTCTATTTTGGGTCATTTAAGTGATTCTTATGGTGGCTAGATTCACTTGATATTTTTTAATACCCATTTATTTTATAGTTTTTTATGTGCCGGTTTATATATATAATTTTTTTATAATTCATATAATTTAAAATTGTGTATTAGAAATAGTTATTAGTCCTAATAAATTTATGTTTGATATTTTTAAATAACAATAATATTTCTTAAAAAACTTTATTATCCCCCCCCCCCTAGATCAAATTCCTGCGTACGCGCCTGCTAATAATGGTATATGGTTTATGTATAGCAGAGTTGTTAAACGCTACTCTTAAAAGTAGCGCGCTACCGCTATTTGTTAAAAAAAGTAGCACGCTACCCCTATCGCTATTTGTCAAAAAAAAGTAGCTCGCTATTAGCTAATAAAAAAAATTTACAAACAAATTTTTTATTTTTTGCTTATAATGTTATTGTATAATAAATATATAAAAATCAACATTTATAAATATTAAAATATAGTTAGTTTTGATTATAAAAAAATTTTTGTAATAAAAATAAATATTTATGGTAATTTGTTGCATTTTAATAATAAAATCATTTCAATATTATCATCCCCAAGTCTAGAGCGACGATCAGAAAGTATAAGTTTTGCCTTATTAAATAATCTCTCGACACTAGCACTTGAGGGTAAGGGCGTATTTAATCTTATATACATATTTTTAATATAAGATAGATTATCAATAATTTTATTTTCAAGTACATCGTATGTCTGGCATCCCATTATCATTTTGAGGGCTAATGCCACAGATCTTTTTAAAGTTCTAGGGTCTAGCCAATGGCCTGTGATAAATAAGCTCAAAAATATTTAATCAGATCAATTTATAAATATAAATAAGTTTTTACCTTCTGTTATGTGTTCAACTATCTCCCGTGGTACATATATATGATATCTCTGATAACTTTACTATTAGAGCATCTTTAATCATTTTAAAGTTATCTGCTATTTTATTCATTAGTGTCTGGCGGCATAAAATTGTTGTACCAGGGGTTAGAGTTTTAATCATGGTAAATGATGGATTATCAACTAAGGACATTGGCTGAACTGTGTAAATTATAAAATCAGCAATAAGTTTAACAGTCAATTTCTGAGAAATATTGTCATTTGCATTATTAATTAATTTAGTTTGAATTGAATTAGTCTTTTTGGATGTAGAGTCGTCTATACCAAAATTATTTAGATGTTTCTCCATTTCCTTAAAACTCATGAACAGTCTTTAAAATAAATATTATTAGAATGTAAAAATGACAATTTACCTTTAGGTCTTTCTTGAGGTTATAGCTACTGGATTGATTTGAGGAAATATTTTTTTTTACATTTTAAACAAATAAATTTGAAACCAGTTTTGGTTATATATTTATTTAAAAATAATTTCAAATCTAGTGAATGGTAAATTTGTATTATAGCTATTAAGAACATTTTCTTCCCTGGTATCTTCCATTTCATTAATATCAATGTCTGAATCACTTTCAACGATTTGGTAAATAAATTTGAAGGCTAATTAATTCAAACCCCTCCCCCACTTCATTTAGATCCTACAGCCGTTTATTTTCTTGGACCATTATTCATAGACATTGTTTGTCGAAAATTACAAAATAATTATGCAATAAAATTTAATTTCTAATAGAAAATTTAATATTTTTGACATTTTAATTCTCTAACTATATCTCTTAACCAATGACATATACACTATCCCTGACACGCATTACTATCAATTTTCCCAATCAAGTGTCAACAATGAATTCAGTCTCCTGTCAAAATTCATTCATTTTTATTCATTTTCTTTTAATATTTTTCCGGGAAATTTAAATTTATAAAAAGTTATGTCAATAAAGAATATTGTTGATGATGATATTGAAGTATGGTATCTAAGATAAATATTTTTATTATAAAGAATTATTATAAAGAAAAATTACGATGAAATCATTGACAGCTTTGGCTATATGAATTTAAAAGATTCGCTGCTGATAGGTATGTATAATTATGGACTTACAATTCCAAATTCTATTCAAAAACAAGCCATAAAGCCTATAATCGATGGTTATAAAATTTTAGTTAAAAATATATAAATCTTTATAGGCTATGATATAATCATACAATCACATTTGGATACTGATAAAACTACTTTTGTAATTGGTATATTACAAAGACTAGATACAAACCTTGCAACTTGCCAGTCTCTTATAATAGTTCCAACAAGGTTTTTAGCTTCTCAAGTAATATAATGAAATATTTTTATGATTTATCAATTATTAGTTATCTAATGTTTTTATGGTTATTGGCGATCATTTAAATATACAATGTCATCTCTGTATTGGTGGGACAAATGTTCGAGCTGATATTGAGAAATTAGATACAGCCCAAATTGTCATTGGTACCCCAGGAAGAGTTCAGGATATGCTTACGCGGAATGCTTTAAGTTAGATATTATTTGCATATGTTTAATTTCATATCAAATCTACTGTAGATCCAACCTGACCATTTATTTTTTTTAAAAAATAATGTATTATAGTTGGATATTTTTAACCATTTACACCAATTTTTAGGCTAACTATCATTTGGCCTGGTTTTTCTTAAAAAGATATCAACTAAAATTTAATTGAAACTAATATAAATTTAAATGCCTTAATATTAATGGATTTTCTCCAGCATGTACTTAAAATTGAGCTGAATTACTGACATTTAGCCATTAATTATAATTATAACAAATAAAAATTTTATAACTTGCCTTACTTCCTAGGATGGGAGAATTCTAAAATACACTAAATAAATTTAATATCTTAAATTTTTTTAGCTAAAACCATATTTTAAATTTTATTATATACCTATAATAAATATGACATATTTAAACTAGAAATAGAAAACCAGAAATTGCCATGAAATGAAACTGATATTTTTTCTTTCAATTTTTTTATAGATAAATATATACTTATATTTGCTCAAAATCCTAGACTAAGATGAGCACAGAATTGCCAAAGTAGCATGGTAGTTTGTCACATAGCTAATAGCAAACTAATTTAAATAGCAGATGCACACTTTTTTAAATAAAAAATACTTTCTAAATCTGATTTATCAAGTTATATAAAATACTATCAATTGAGATACACTACTACACATTGAAGAAAATTTTGAGATAGATGATAGCCACAAAATATCAAATATCATGAAATTACCTTCTTTCCCTAAATTTGCACAATTTCTTGAACCTTTTTTTTAAAAAATAGATTGATATTAGATGCATAAATAACAATATCAAGCAGCTTCAACTTAAAATTATAGGCACAGATTTTATGAATAATTTTAATAAAATAATTATCTCCTGTTTTGAAGTTAGAATGTTCATACTTAAATTTCAGAAATTAAAAGATATCGGTGTACTAGAAGAAGCAACATCCTATGATTGATTAATCACTCAGATTTTGATAAAATTCAGTATAAAGGTAAATAAAGTTTTGTAATCAGGGTTTAATATTTGTTCAAAATTCAAAAATCTTCAAAGATTTTGCTTTTTTGAAGATCAAAAAATCTCAAATTTTTTTGTAAAAAAAAAATTGTGAGCATGCTTAAAGAAGATTTTTGTTAAACCCTCGTAATCATAAAAACTCTTGCAAGTATTCAGAAAAAAATGTATTCCAAATTTAAAATTTTGGGTTTAGCAATATTTTTGAATTGTTAAAAAAGTTACCTATTTCCATGTTTCATTGATTATTTGATTTACCAATCACCTATTTAGCTGATCTTTCCAATTAAATTAAAAAGATCAGTACATAATACTTTATTTTACCTTCGTGAGTCTCAAAAACTGCTATTGTGCAAGTCTAAGACTTGTTCATTTCTTAAGAATTGTCAAAAATTCTTGCTATTCATATTTGTGAGCATGATATTAGTACCAATATGAATGTAATCAGATTGATCGATAAGGGATTAAACCATTTATGGTTTTATTAACTAATTTGTGAACAAATGGTTCTGATGTTATAGGAGAATCATTCCATGTCTATTTTTGTGGGATTTTTTTTATAATAAACTAGCTGTGCCAATATTAAATATAAAATAAGAACCCAGGATTAGCATTGTTAAAAAATATCAGACAAGCCGATATTATTTTTAAAACTGATTTGATGTTTTTTTGTTTTGAGTTAATTTATTATTTATATATTATAATTATGATTTATTTTATAAATAATTCATATTTTAAAATTAATAAAAGGAACCAAAATTCAATTTATTTGTTTATTTTTTAAAAAATCCAATTATTTTAAAAAATAATCTAGCTAATGTTATTTTTGTTTTATTATCTGCAATAAGAATAGGGTTTAATATCTAACAAGTCACATTCAGCTATAGTTGTTGAATGATTCAATTTATCCTTCAAAATAGATAACTCAAGATTTTAACCAAAATAAAATAACAAGTTTTTACATTCTCACAGATGACCGAAAGGTTTGGATATCTATTGACAAAAGTTTGAGGATTATATAATATTATTTTGGCTCTGGCTGAATCGAGCCCTTTGGCAACACTTCATTAAGCCAGCTATAAACATTTCCCATATTTTAAATGGGATAATAGGCCTTTTATGATAACTCTTGGACTTGTGTTTGTACCAGTAAAAATATTACATATCAGTTTTATTTTTAGAGCTATTTTCTGTTTTGATAATAAGCTATTTTCATTATATTAAAATTTATGCCATATAAAGGACTACTTATAAAGCTATATAATAGAATTCAAGATATGGTTTTAGCTAAATTATATTTTGAGATATTTAAAATTAAATGGAGTTTAGAATTTTTAGTGTTTTAAAGATATCCATATCTCAGAAATAGCCGATTTGGAAAATAAAATTATTTATTATATTAAATGACGAATTCCCATGGATTCCACATCCCAAAACGACATAAATACTATATTATGTAAATTTTTTTAAAAAAGGGGCCAGGTTGAGAATTTAGTTTTTTATAACATCAAAATTTGTAATAATATATAAATAATTCAGAATCATCTCACATTAATATGATTGTTTTGGATCAAGCTGATCTACTGCTTTCAAATAAATTAAAAATAACGACAGAACAAATATTGAAATGTCTTCCTTCTAAGACTCAGGTATTCGTATAAATAATATATATATTTCAAATTTGTATAATTAAAAAAAATTTTTTCACAATAGTATCTAGGCTTATTCAATAACGAATACGGATAGAATCGAACGAATCGAAAAATTTACTATTTGTATTCGATTCGAATAATTCTTGTTTAAAAATATAAAATAATTCATACGGAAACATATTGACAGAAATGATTATAATAATCTGTAAAAGAACATGCCATCAAGTTATTAACGAAATTAAAATGCATGTTAATTTAATTTATTATGTCAAATTTTTTATGACAAAGAGTTCTTCTTTATAAGACATGAGATCACCTTGTTAATCACATCGCCCATTAGATTGATAGGTTTTAGATTATCAATAGAAATAACAAATGATTAAATTTTATTAAATAAACATTAATTTTTCCGAATAAATCTAATATTCGATTAAATTATTAGAATAAAACGAATAAGTCGAATAAAAGAATTATTTATTTCATTCGAATATAATAATTCATTATTCATACTGACAACGAATAATTGACTATTCGTTTATTCGATTCGTTTTAGCATAGGCCTAAAGATATCTATATTTGTAAATTAAGTTATAATTTCTCCAGATATTAAATTTAATAATGTCCATTTAATTAGCCTGTTTTTGTTTAAGTTAGTTATTATTTTTTGAATTCTTAAATTTTTATATTATATTTTGTAAATGTTTTTGATTATATTTTTTAGAAATAATGGTAAATGGAAATTTAAAGTTGTAAGTTTGAAAACTAAAGTTTTGTAAAGAATACAAATTTAACATGTTCGCTTTTAAAATTAGGTCAGGTCTACCCAAGCCTCAGGTGGGTTTGACTAGGACAAGTAAGTTTTAGGACTAGGAAGAGTTCCCTAATGGATATTCATTATTATGGTTCGGACCAAAAACTAAAATAAATTTTATCCTAAGAAAACAATTTTATTTTCTCGCTCATTTATAAATTAGGATTTATTCTTTCAGACGCGTGACCAAGGGGGGGGGAGGATACCTCCCTCTCCTACAATAAGTTGACCTAAAGATCTCCAAAAAAATTATGGGGAAAAACATCTAATGATGCTCCCTCTTTAGCATAATCCTGGATACGCCTATGAAATGACTTTGTTATTAAGAAATTATGTAAAATAAAAAGATATAATTATATAATATATCATAAAAAACAAAATCTGATCGATTTTTTTAAATATTGGCCTAATAAGGTTTAGTAAATATCGGGCCTGCTAAGATTTAAAAAAGAATAAATCGGGTTCATGATATTTGATATCAAAAACATAGCCCTACTTTTTTTATAATTTAGTAAGTTTTTAATTATAATTGATTTTTAAAGAAAAATCAGGGTAATGAATAGCAACTTTTCAGGAGGTTAATACAATCAAAATAAATTTTATAACATGATTATACAAGAAGGAAAATATAAAATTCTAAAATATATTATACAGCAATCATGATAAATTCTTATAAACAATAAGGAGCATATAATTTATATATCTTTTGTGACTGAACAGCGTTTATTCCAACTGTTTTTGTAGATTTGATATTGTGGTAACTCTCGTAAACTCATAAATAAGTAATTCATTGTTATCTCATTGACATTGATTCTACTGCTGGAGGTAAGGATTTTTACATCATTCCATATATTAGTTTCTCTTATACTTCGATAATCATTCATCTATAATTTTAATATACAATATGCGATTTGGTATTGCATATTATTGTTTTAAATCAGAGATCTGCAGAGGTAAATATATTTAAAAAAATTAAAATACGATCAGGCAGGTCTCGGATTTAAATATAAAATTTTAGAGGACTTATTTAAAAATCTATTATTCTAATTTTTGATTTTGAAAATAAATTACTTTTGTTAAAAAATATAACAACATGGCGGCGGTCATAATCTTAAACTATAATGTCTATTACACTTTGTTTAAATATTTATTTGGGCCGTCTAAAAACTAATAATTGTCATGTTCCATCACTGTCTCATTTGTAAAATTGATATTTTTTGAAGTCTGTTGTATTTTATCAAACAAATATAATGAATTTTTTTTAATGGGAATAAAAGTCTATCTATTTTTTCCGCAAACAACAGTAGAATTAGACTATTTTTTTAGGGCATATCGATATTGGCTTAAATAGTTTGACAACCGTCTATCGCCTCTTAGATAAATTAATTTTATTAGACAGTTTTTAAGTAAACGTTGAGTCTTAACTGAGGCAATACCCTACTGATGCTCGCCTAATTTTTTTAAATTAGTTAGAAGAAAGTTACTTTTATATAAATATAACAAGGTAAAATTCTTTTTAAAAAAGGGAAATAGTTACTTTAGCAAAAGCCTAGAGTTTTGATAGATATAACAAATGGAATATTATATCTTCGTTTTTTATGCTACATACGGCCCTCAATAAAATAAGTGATATGGTTTCCCATAAAGCTTTTGATTATCAGCGCCTGTTGGTAAGTTGTTTTAAATTGCCTGCTGGTTCTTTAACAATCCAAATATACTACGTTTACAAGAATCGCCTTTTAAAATGTTTCCAATCCTTAAATGAACTAATTTAGATGGGCATATACTTAACTGATACTTATATATCCCAAATGATTATTCAATATAATAAAAATAATGGGGGAAATAAATTCATTTAAAGATACCAAAATTATTAATGTTAAAAAAAACTAGGACTGCGCCTATTTTAAAATATGATTATAAATGTATATATCTCGGAATTGCCACAAGTGAAGCATTAAATTTTTAGTGATTAACCATCTTAAAATGTTATTAAAACTTTAGCATATAATTAAAAAAATATTTTAAGGAAAGGTCAATATCGACATATGAAATGAATCTATTTTTTGGATCGGGTTTTAACAATTTTTGGCCGGTCCAACCCAAAACAAATTGTTGACTGGCCAATACTGAAGCCTCCTTATAAACAATTTTATAATGTTATATCAATATTCCAAGAAGCTGTCAATCCTTATAAAAAAATTTTTTAAACAATTTTGAATAATATGATTGAGAAATATTTATCTCCAACAAACAACATTAAAATTAATGGAAAAATGAATTGTTATTGAAAATGAAAGCATACTTCGAAGATTTGATACACTTGTTTTATTTTTTATATCGGGTTCACTTTAACGAAGGTTTTTTTTAAATTATGGCCGCAAAAACCCTCGAATTTTGAAAACCCCAGAGCATTGTAGGCTTACGACAGGATGCTTGAACTTCTCTATACTATATATTTAAATTATAAGCATATATGTTATGTTTTATTTTATATAAACACAGATTATCATATTATCTGCCACTATGCCTGCCGAAATCTTGCAACCCGCATGTCAACTCGTGAAACAGGATTGCATCAAAATATTTTCGGAAGAAGCGATAACTTTGGATAAGTTGGAACAATTTTACATCAGGGTTGAGGAAGTATAGTTACTCATTTTTTGTTTTCGATATAAAAAAATTTTTCTCATTAAAAAATCAATTAGCACGATGTTAATTTTTGGCTAGGCTTTTATTTTTTTAAATACCTTGGGCTCTAAAAATTGTTTTAAAAAATACCTGGGCCGGACCTTATATTTTAAAACCTATTGTTTTAAATTGCCATTATTAGCTATAAAAATTAAAAATAAATATAATAAGGGCTGGGCCGAAAACAATTTTTGAAAAGAAATCCGGATCGGGTCATGCAAATGTTACCTCTGCATGTCTCTGATATGGGTATCGCATGACACCAAAATAACGCTAGTGTTTAAAACGAATAAAACTTCGCATAGTAAGTTTTACCCAAATCAAAATTTGAGAACTAACTCACAAAGATTCTGAGTTATGGGCTTTCAAAATCCAGTTTAGGCTATCTCCATTTAACGAATCTCAATTTAATCAAAAAATATTGTTGAAAAAGTTACAAATAATATATCATTTTTTAACCCTATTAAATTATTTTTCGTGGAATATTATTTGGAAAAAAAAATCTTCAGTGGACGTATTTTCGACAAAATTTTCTTAAAATCTAAAGCATTTATCTTTATATTTAAATAATTATGAGGAAAAAAATTGAATAAAATTTTATTTTGAGTTTTTTGAACAAAATGAATTCTCTATAAATGAATGAAATTTCATATAAATAATATTAATATAAATTTAAATATTAGTGGAGTAACTATGGTGGAGGCAGGGAAATAATTTTAAGCTAAAAAATGTATTAAAAAGAAATTAAATCAGAACACAATTAATTTAAAAATATCTCCATTTATAAAGGACAAATTTAAAACATGGTGATATTCAAGTTATTTTTATTATGATTTAATTTCTTTTTGATTATTTTTATAAGCAGCCTTATATGTTTATATTCGATTTTATTCCCTGTCGATAAATTATTTGTTTTTTCAGCCTAAATTTAAATTTTACTTGATGTAAAAAAAATGAATTGGAAAGTGAAAGTTGACTTGTGATTTTCTTTTTTTATATTCTATTGAAATAATCAGAAAATTACATGTTAATTTTTAAAAAATTCAATAAATTATCTCTAATACAGTCCTGCTTTTATTTTATTTTCCATAAAATAAAATTAAAATTCGTCAAGCGCTATTTAAAAAATTTCCATATTATCGAGAGACTATTAATCCTTCAACACTTAGGTAAAAAAACATAAAAAGCATATGGACTATTTTCTTCTGTTTTTTAGATATAATTTTTAATACTATAATAAAAAATACATTACTTTAAAAAATTCATTATAATTTCATCTTGTATTTTAATGTAGGATATATAACCTTTAACTTGTTTAAATATTTATTTATTTTTATTTAGCGTATTAGTTAAAAAAATATAAGGATATTGATAACTTATGCCAATTTATTTTAAAAAAAATAGTAAATTTTCAAAACTCTATGGCTTGTATTCGCGGACCTTTAAGAAATGCGCGAATAGCATTACAATGCTATTCGCCAATAGTTGCTAAGGTATACACTTTTGTTTTATATTGTTTAGAGATTTCGTAAAAATTAAATGCCCTAATATAATTATTATTGCTAGCGAAGAGTTAGGCAAATAATATGTACAAAACAATAGAATAAATATAGTTTTATATAATAAAAATATGAAAAATACCTTATATAAATAATTAAAATTTTTTATTTTTAACGAAAGAAGGGATCAATTATATTATTAGTAAGGAATAGTGTTGTTAAATGGTTCGATTTGAGTCAATTTTTAGAAATGGTTATCAATATTTTAGCCAGAAAAATATAGCTGAAGTCTCGAGACTTCGCTATTAGATATACAAACCGTTGTCCCATCTATGAGCAGAATTGTTAGGTTTACGTAATATTTTTCTGGAGAAAATATTGAGTGAGCCATTTTTAAAAATTGGCTCAAATCTAGCCGTTTTATAAATTCTCAGCATGTTTGCCGTTGTCAAATAAAATATGAGATGTTGTTATTGTATCGGAATATTACTATGAAATATGATGATACAATAAATTTTTATTTTTTAATAAATATTTTTTTCAAAACCAAACCCGTTCCGATAATTTAATCCGATCAGATTTTTTTAATCGTGCTATTAGACAATCATGGTATCCAACGAAATCAAAAAATTATGAGTGTTCTAGGAAAATTTCTATTTTTTTAGATTTTTTATACATATATTTTTAAAGTCCAACCCTATCCGATAATTTAATCCGATCTGATTTTCTTTAATTGTGCTGTTGGACAAGCATGGTATCCAACGAAATCAAAAAATTATGAGTGTTTAAGGATAATAAACAACGAGGTCGGATCCGGTTCAAAATAATTTTTAATATCTAGGTTCTAGTTTAATCCAATCAGTTTGAGCAGAATTCTAGTGAATATTTAAACAATAATAGATAATGCATGAGACACACAGTAATCTAATTTAGTTTATAATAAAATATTGAAAATATGAGCTATCTAAAGTTCGCCACTTAGCCTACATTTTGGACTTGCATAGTGCTGTAAGATCAAAGTATAAATTTCATGCAAAGTTGCTGTCGTTTACCATACCCGTTCTGGACCATCTAAAAAAAATTTTAGACCCAGCAAAAAAATAGCCAGGTGGGGCAAATATTTTTTTGCATATATATTTGATGAATTCTGATATTTCATGGAAGTGATAAATCCATAAAGTAAAGTTTTTTTAAATTAACCATTCCCCAAGATTATATATAGTTTATTTTGGTATTCAACAACATATTTTGGTTTATTAGGCCTTATATTTGAAAAAAAAATTTAACGGGGCTGGACAATCTTAATAAAAAAATTGAAATCGGGATGGGCAAAAATTCTACCAGGCTAAAATATAGTATTATTATTGTATTTTTACTTAACGCAGATCAAATTTTATGAAATGAATGAAATTTATATTGATATTTTATTAAAAATATATATAATACAATTTTGAAGTTATATTTAAAATTTTTTATTATGCACACCTTATTAGGATTGGAAATTCGAAACACTTGATTATTTATTAAAAAATATGGATATATTCAACAACAATATGATTATATTCTGCAACACCACTAAAAAAATTAACTTTATCTTGACCAAGTTAAAAGAAAAAAATTATGTTGCAACTGCCCTGGTATTTATATATTTATTTCAATTATCTGACTCGGCCCGGAACTGGCTCAAAAATATTGAAGCCGGGCTTTAAAAAATTTTAAACCTGGGCCAGGTCTTATTTATTTATTCAAATATTTAAATTATAACAATTACTCAGAAATCATATAATGGACAATGTAGCGTTTAATATTCGTTTATTACGCATATTTTTAACACAATTTTTAAAATACAAACCTAATTACTCCAATTTTAAAAATTTTAGGCTGGGTGGAAAAATAATCCAAGATAAAGCAAGGCAAGTCCGGGTAAGAAATACTTGAATGAACTGCAAATAATTTTAAATAATCCAAAATGAGAATTTTTAAATCTATTAATTTCGATTATTGTAGGCTTCTGAAATATCATACATTTTAAAGGTTGGGCTGCATCATTGATAATATATAAGCCTGGCCTGTTTAAAATTTAAAATATTAGACGTTTTTCATTCTTCATTTTCCTCTTGATTAAATCTCATAATTTAAAAATCAGAACAATTAAAGGACATTAGAGAATAAAAGAATAACTTCGGTCTAAAAAATTTTCCACCCAGCGGTCCTGCAAAAACTGCGTCCAAACTCAATTTTGTAAATTTCAAAAATAAATTAATTTTTTGAAAAATAAAATTTTGACTTTGGATGTATCCTTAAAATATAATAAAATTAATATTCTAATTAGTATAGTGATTTTTAAAATATTGTACTTTAAGTATGTTGATGAAAATAAAATAAATAAGCTCTTATTTATCTTTATGCATATATAGTACTCGAATATGGATCAACAAAAATGTGAAATAGCTTTACAAGGGTTCATTACCGGTTCTACACATATTTTACTGTGTACGGATTTAATAACGCAGACTATGCAAAGTGGAATCGTGGTCTCTTTCATCCTCAATTACGACTTTCCATATAATAAGAAAAGATATTTTCATAGGTAAAAGCAATAATAGGGGAGGCCGGGGATCATGTGAGCTTGTAAACGACAATTAAATCATTGATTATTATAAACTATCTTATTTTCTTCCCTTTACTTATAGTATTTTAAAATATTGTGCAAACTTACAATATTATTATTTTTGTATTTAAAAATGATATATTTTTTATAATAGATTCGTTTATTTAAAAATAATAAAATAATATTAGTGCTGTTAACGTTACTACTGCGTTACCGTTACTCGTTTCATCTGAAAAAAGGAACGCGTTACCGTTACTCGTTATCTTTTTAAAAAAGGAAAGCTTATTGACTATCAAAAAAGTGACGGGTTGCTCGTTACTTAAAAAATTAAATATTATATACAAAAAGAATATATAAGATAAGATCATTTTATAAAAATTTATATATATATATAAATAAAATTATATAATAATATAACATCTTTTTGTAACAATTTTTTATTTGTTTTTAGCAACAGTTGATTTTCAAAATTTTGATCCGACAAAAAGAGCTTATTGCTCAATACAGCTTTCGCCATTGCAAAACACATGTTTAATTGGTGCAGTGGATGGGAGAGTTGTATTATATTTAAAAATTTTAATTCGAGGAATTTATTAAAAATATTTAAAGAATTATCTTTATTTTTAAAGAAGCTTAAGAAACTTCACAAGGATCTTCATTCATTTTCTCATCAAAAAATTAATCTTTAGCAGAAAATATTCTGGTATGTGTGTTGGATAAATGAATTAAGTCTACTCTTTCTTTATCAAAATCTTCTCAAAATGGTCCAGCATTCTTCTGTTAACCTCTAATGTTATCTAGGGCCAATCCAATTTAAATAGTGGGTGAATTATTGTGGATAGTATATATTCATCTTTATAGATGTGTTTGAATCTATTGAAAATAAAAGATAATCAAAATATAAATCGTAAGCAATATTTGAACTGTATACCTTTTATCTATACCTTCCGGGATTTAATTAATAAGCAGCTTACAAAACTTGAAATTATCTAATGCCATTTTTTTAAGTTTTAATATTATAATAGTTAATGTGAGAGTGAGATATCCCAAATGCATTTTTCTTCTTTTTCTAAAATTGAAAGAGCCGTAGCGATTAATTTCCTGGAGTTATTAAAAGAGTTCCATCTTGTTATAACCGGTTTAATCAGATATTTTCCAATGTCCTTAAAAATGGCTGCACAGTTTGAAGATTGCCCATGTTTTTCCACAATAGCTTACACTTAGAAAATGTATTTTGAAAAAAAAGGACATCGTTACCTACCTTTTCAATATCAACACTTGCAATGAGATTAAAGTGTGTACTGAACAGGAATGATGCTTAGGTAAGTATACAACTATCATTAGTATTTTGATTTTCAATAAATAATGGCAGAGGAACTATTTCATCATCCAATTCCCTTGTTCATTTACTCTAGTAAATTTTTATTAAATTATAATTTACTTGAAAGCTTTCATATAATTTCTAGCATTGTCGGTAATGCATTTGTTCACTTTATTTTGTATCTTATATATGGCAAAAATTCTAAAGATTTTTTGGTTTAGCCTTTTACAGGCTAAGCAGGCTGAAACTCTCTCAAGAGTGTCTGGTTGTAGCCAGTGTACCGTCATCCATAAATAAGAACTTTTTTAAAGGACAATATTATCAATCTATTAAATATATTTTATATACCGATGATAAGCTGATTCTAGAATCCACAGTTGTACAGACAATTTCTGGGATACCCAATGATCCACAAATTTCTTTGATATGATGTCATATGCTTTATTAATTTTTAATACAAGGGTACTAGACATCACATTTCTAGTTGGCTGCAATTTTAATAAATGTAAAGCTTTCTACAATTGAATTTATTAACAGCTGATTGTACTATTTTTATCTTTGATGTAGATGTCTACATCTCAATGAGTGTGAATTGATTGGCTTCAATTTTTTCTTATTACTATTCAAATATTCATTAGTCTCTATCATTTTTGAGGAATGTAAAGTCTATATTTTTTTAATTAAAATATTATTAATTCCTGAATTTTTTATTAAAATTTACTTCGCTTTTTCAATAATTGAAGATAAATTTTTTTAAAATTTAATTGCATTTTTTAATCCCTCACTAAGCTTTATCAAGGAAAACATTAAACATTGAAATTAAGATTGCCAATGATAAATTTTCAATTTTTTAACTTTTTCAGAATTCAGAATTATCATTTAAAAAGGGATCAGGATAAATATCTAGGTTCAGCTCTCTAAAACAATATTGCTCCATAGTTTTATTCCATTACATATTTATTTAAACAAAGTTTTTTAAAATCACTATTTTATTCTTTAAATTTATTAACAATTTGAGTTTAAACCAATAGAAATACTATAACAAGTAATAGAAAATATATTTTAAACCCAATATAATATTTTGTTAATGTTGGTTCCCAACTCTCTACTATAATATAATTTAATTGCTTATATTTTAAACCCAATATAATATTTTGTTAATGTTGGTTCCCCAACTTTTAAGAAATATTATTGCTTTTTAAAAATATCAAGCATAAATTTATTAGGACTAATAACTATTTCTTATACACAATTTTAAATTTATGTGTGAATTATAAAAAAATTATATATGTAAAGAATCACTTAAATGACCCAAAATAGAAATTTGAATTTTTTGAGCCTTTACACAAAATGTTTCTTATATAGCATATCATTTTTTATTAAAAAACATCAAATAATAAATATGTTGTTTTCTTTTAAACAAAATTCGCAATATATTTATTGATTCGCAGTAATGTGCTCGCGATAATGACTTCACGCAAACATATTCGCTGTAAAGTGTTCGCGTAAAATGTATTCGCTCTAATAAATTCGCGAAATTGTCTTCGCTATAAATGTTTCGCGATTTTACCTTCGCTATAAAAACTTTTCGCGATAAAAGTTTCGCTGAATTGACCTGATACGACAGTTAAATTTATTTTATGTAAAAATTATTACATTTTATATATTATATACATAGATATATATATATTTAGAATTTATTTTTAATGTCATTTTTTGAAATTATAATTTAATCACTATTATTTTAATCAGGAATTTTATATTTTAATTGTTGAACTTAAAGTATAAATTTTTATATTGTAGAAATAATTAACCTTTATATGAAATAATATAAAATTTTTATTTGAAAAGATTTCTTTGAATCAACTATACCTAGGATTTTATATTTATATTTACAATATTATGGTAAAAATGACAAATTTAATATTTTTATAAAAATATTTAATATACAACGAAGAAGCAGAAGATTGGAGGAGGATGACTTACCTTAATTTTTTGAAGCAAAGGACAAAACAATAAAAGTTTTTAATTTCCCCTCGTTAAAAGAGTTGTTTATTAGGTATGATACCGCAATCCCATCATCTGCCCTGAATGTGTTTTCAGTATATGTCGAATTAACTGTCAAGCATTCCTGTCTATCATGAAAATTTGAAAAAAAATAAAACTGTTATTTTTTAACATGGTTAATATATTATGTTAAAAATAAGACATTTATTTACATTAAATTTAATTTAAAAAAAATTAATCTTAAAATTTTGAATGAACGTGGCGTTCCTTTTTTTTGAAAGTGATCGTGAACACCAACTAGTTCGATTTTTTAAATGTTTACAGCACTACATTATAATGAATTTATTTTTTTTAACTTTTATTGTGAAATTTGTTAATTTTAGTAAGTTTTGGGGGATGATTTCTTTTGATTCCACGCCTTTCAAACTTTAAATTTGTATGATATAAATATATTAGATTTAATTTATTTCTACGCATTATTCAATGCTGTATATATTCTACTAGATTAGTGATTCATTAATTAATAGAGCACATACTTTAATATTTATAAAAATTGTGGTTGAAGCTTACTTGTCTGTCAAAATTGAATAATAATCATTTTTAAAACAATTGAGATAAAATTTTCCCAATATACCAAAAGCATAAAATTATGTTCAAACAGGTTCACGTGCATTTTAGCGGTTCAGGTTCGGTTAAAAAATGATTTGGTGGTTTATGTTTGATAAAAAAATAACGGTTTAATGGTTCGGTTTGGATCCTTGCCCTATAGCTGGGTATATATATTTATTTTTAAATCTGTCGAATATTTTAATATAGGGGAATAAATTTATCCTAAAGCGTTCAAGATATTGAAAAGTTTTAGATATTATTAAATTGTTTTTATTACAATCTTATATATATATATTACAGGGCAAAATGGGCCACTAGAAAATTCGGAGAAGTAATTGGCAAAGTAATTAACCTTGTTAGCATCCGTGATATGCCTAAAATGAAAGAGATCGGGTCCTATTGCCATGCTAAAATTGTTGAAATGCCAGGAATAGAAATACCAAAAAATGTAACTTCATTCTTAGAACCAAACTCACTATTAAACGTCGAAAAGAAAATTGCAGACCCCGCGAATCCACCTATAGTCACCAAATCCTTATTGACCAGGAAAGATCTTATCAAATTGTCCAAAAAAATTATGGATAAAGTGAAACACGTGCTCAACGACACATCCAAACCAATCCCAGCAAGGGTTCAACATGATGCCCAGTTTCTTAATGCTACAATACAAGAATTAAGCGAATCAAACTCCTTGGAATACTTAGAAATGGTCATGGAAAGGGCTAAAAGATTAGCCAAAACACTGTCATACAAATGGAACACGCCCATCACCTACGTTAGCACAGTTTATAATAATTACCCGATATGTGAATCTCGTTTCCAATCTAGTCCAAAATGGCGCCGCGGATTTTTACAGGCATCAGTGACCCAATCAGAACACAAGGAGAAAACTTAAACCATTTTTGCCTAAATTATTTTTTCTCCCAATTTTTAAATATTTTTATAGAATTTTATAAATCATAGTATAAATAAAATTTTTAATTAGTCTCTAGATATCAAATAGAATAGTTCTTTCATTTTTTTAGTATGCAAAGATTTACTGGTTCTTAAACGGGTTAATTTAAAAAAAAAATATTAACATATTTATTTAAAAAACTAAAGATTTTTATAATAAAATTCTTTTTCTCCTGTATGAAATTCATAAACAAAGTAGAAACCGGGACTATAACTGAAATTTTTGTTTTAAAATGCCATATTAAGCTATGATTTCACTTTGCTTTTTGGCTCAAGAATTTTTTTCCTCCATAGGAAAATAACAAAGACCGTTTTTTCGAAATTACCCCATACCCAGCGTAATCCCAAACACACCTAGGTATTTTCGGAATGTCTTTTGGTATGATTTTAATAGAAAATAATTTTAAATCTACAAATTATATAATAATGAACTTCGATATTATATGAAAAATTAAGGTTTACAAGCATTATATATAAAAAAAGGGATCATTTTTAGGACATGATTCTTGTGCCAATCCCTTATGTTACAATATCAATTTCGAGATATTTTATATTATAATTAGTTTAATCTTTTAAAATGAAAATATTATTTAAATGCTAACTTAAATATAATTATTTTGAAGGCTTTTGTATACACAGAAGTGCATGTTGTTTTTGTCGGTTCGGGTCCAGGGTTTGGAGAAGATAAATATTAACTCAAAATACAATTTTTTTTATACTTCGTATAAATGATTGATGCTTACATAAGTAAAATTTAAAAAATAATTTTTATTTTAAATGTTTTATTTAATCGTATAGCCGTAATATTTATAATAAAATATAATAGGTCTTGCAATGGGTGGGTTTTTAGCCCACAAAATTAATCTATTCATTATTTTTTTTAAATTCACCCGCCCATAAAAAATTTGAATATGCCATTTTCAATTTTTTTAAGCCTCTATTAAAAAAAAAAATAGTTTCAGCGATAAACCCCTTCATAAAAGTTTTATAATTTAAGAAATTACTGTAAGAAGCATTAAAAAAATATTCAATTTAAATTACGAATAAATTTGTTTGATCAAATAAAATTTTTAGAAAACATAATTATAGAAATAATATTTCTTATATTCGTAATTATAATATAATGCGAATCCATATTTTTTGCATTCAAACACGTTCTTTGTTCTAAAAACCTTCCAGTTTAGAAGAAGCATTCTGAAATTGTCAATATTTTTTTTAGCTAATCTTAATAGTTTTGGTAAATTTTTTTTCTCGTTTCCACCAGAGATCCATTTGAAGTATATCCTCTTCCTCAAGTGAGATCTTTAAATAAAAAGTGAAACCATTAATAATAAATAAATAAAGTAATTTAAATTAATTTTTATAAATTGTAAACTAAACTAAGTAGCCTAAAATCTTGCTAAATTATACATATCATCGTTACTTTAATATTTAAATATTTTGTTAAATTAGGTACGGTGCTTTACTCTGCAAAAGCCTTATCCTCCAACTGTTGTGGTTTAATTTTTATGTGGATGCTATCTATTTCAATCATTGCTTTTATAATAGTCTTTCATTGAATTCTGCTTGCTTTGGGGGAAACGGTAAAATCAGATTTTCATCTGCGTAGTCCATGCAAATAAAATCCATCATGTTTTAGATCTATTTTGTTACTTCATTGATTTCTTCTGATGACAACATCTTCAGTTGTCGGAATTATCGTATTAAAAATTTTGTAATTTTAAGTAGTATATTTTTTAAATGATTTGAAATAAATAAAAGATGAAAAATTATTAACCCGTCCATCCAATTGTTTAAATTTTTTAACCTGTCTGCCCTCCCACCTATAGTTTAAGTTTTTTTATTTCTTCTATCGAATAATCATCCATGCCTCCTTATACTCCTTCTTTCTAATTTCTGTTTAATATTTTTTTAGATCTTTAACTTTTTATTCTCTAATTTATATTTTTATATTTATCGCCTTTATTAATTTTGTATTAGAAAATAATATATGCCTTTCCTATTATGTAATATATTATATTCGTTATATTTACTAAAATAAAGGAACAATTAAATAGAAATTGTTTTATTTGTTTATAGAATTATTATTTAAAATGGCTCTAATTAAGGAATTAACTCTTCTATTTTATTTTTATCATCATTTGTTAGGGCAATGTTGTCAGCTTAACAGTTTTTATAGTCTGAAAATTCTAACAATAAAAAATATATAATCCTATTAAATAAGAAAAAGATAGATATATATTGACTCCAGCGGGTTATATATTAAAATTTTTTATCCAGTCCCATTAACATTATTAGCAATCAATATTTTTAAAGTAATAATGGACTTTGAGATATATTTGTTGTAAGTAACATTTCACAATAACTTCCTCGATATTCTTTATTATATTCTGGCAAACGATATTTAGCACATCTGCCAGAAATCCATGTGTTGCAAATGGGTTTGGACTTAAGTAAACAAGCATATTTCCAGCATTATCAGTTGTTGTTAAACTTATAATTTCTTCCTACAAATTGTATTAAACAATTAAAGTAAAGACATTTGTAGATGTTTTCTCCTTTGTCAGGATAGAGAACATGATTAATATCTAATATTATTTCTTTCATTTTCCACGAATCATCGATAAAGTGGACACTCATATATATGGAAGTTTTTGACAGAAGTCCATAAATCTGTTGTGATAGCCAGTTCTGGCAATTTTACTAGTCTGGGTATTACATGTCTTCTTTATTGGTGTAATAATTTAGAATATTTGTTTTAAATGTATATTAAATCTGTTGTAATAGCGAGTTTTCCTGGAAATTTTACTAGTCTGGATATAACATATCTTTTTATTGGTGCAATTATTTTGAATATTTATTTTAAATGTATAATATGGGAAAACTTTAATGTTAGAATTTATATATCCAAAAATGCATGTATAGCTTATGATCATTTATTTTTTATATTGAGAATTTGTAATTTTATTCTTATAAATATAATCGAAAGAATTGGGTATTTGTATTTCTTTCTGAACTAATTTATTTTATTGTGAGACATTTTTATGTAAGAAACATCTTCAAGTAGTTAAAAAACAAAATAAAAATATTCATTACATATGTGTGAATGAGTAATATACAATAATATTTATATAATTTAAATAAAGATAAAAAAAAATACTAATATGAGGAGGGTCTATAGTGCAAGTAGGTTTCATATATTTAAAATTTTGATCTCTCAATTTGTTATATTCACAGTTTACTTGTGCTTGAAGAATATCTGGAGAGTTAATTTACACGTTTTTCGAGAATTATTTATCTTTTCCAAAAAATTTATGTATTTCTCTAACATATTTTGATTTGGTTTTTTTTTCATTTGTACAACTACTACTTTCTAAATCAATAGTTATTCTTTTACCTTCAAAAGAGCGAAATTCAATAATATTATGATCATCAATTATTTTAATATCCATCCTAATAATAAAAATATAATGCCTAATAAATTTAATCGCCTAAATTATATAAGGCGAGACAGGGGTAAAGCGATTGACGGGGTAACAATATTAACGCGAATAACTCTTTAACCCTTGAGCATAAAGACCTTATATTTAGTGTGAGGATATATTTTTATATCTAATTTCTTACCTATATTCAACTATTAAAAATCTTTACTGGTTTGAAATATTTTCCCAAAAAACAGTTTTTTACACAAAAATTATAAATCTCTAATTACTTTTAGCAAAAATATATTAAAGGTCCAGATTTCAAAATATATACATGTTCCTTAGGTCATAGCTATTAAAATTATCGGAAGTTTATAGCTTAACTAGATGTCACGCAACTATTTGTACAATATATATCACTTTGGGGTAAAGTTGTTATGGGTAAAACGGTTAAAATATTCCATCTAATTTAAGTTGAAAGATAATTTTTAAATATTAATGTCTACCATAATATATGAAATTCTTTCATAAACATTTATTTATCCATAAAACCATAATATAAAAACATAATATAAATCTGAATACCCAAATATAATAGATGACATGGGTGTTAGGTAGTTAACCTCACCCAATATTATCAAATCATAGATATATATAATCATTATAACCATATCTAATTGGCAAATATAATAATTCATAATGTATAAATAATATATTACAATATATTTCTATATTAAGACATCTAAAACAACCATAAAAAAAAATATTTTTGAGCAAAAAGGAACATTAATAAATAGTTTCTGTGTTATTTGGAATATATTTTAAAGAATAGTCGTAAAGAGGAAGAATAATTGAAATGTACGATGTACCTAAAATGGACACACTCAAAGTGCGCTATTTTTAATATAATTTTACATCAGATATTGTATTGATTAGTTTATACTTAGAGAAAAGTGATGAATATATGAAAAGGAATATTTTGTTAAACAATATAGTTACGTTCAATTTTATTTTGACCCCTTTACCCTGATGTTTAGCCACTTTACCCTGGGTATGGGATAAAATGGTACACTTCATACAATTAATCACAGCTACTAAAGTATTGTAGGAAGAGAGCTACACTTTTTTTTGCAGTTAAAAGATTTGGCTACATATAAATCTATAATTTGGTGTTTTTTTATGTTTAAAATTTTAAGACAAAAATGCAAAATACCAGTCGTTTTACCTTGGTCTCCCCTACTCGATTTATATGAAATGTAATAGAAAATTAAAAGATGGATGAGATATTATAAGGTGTTAGACTAGACCTACAAAATACCGAAATTCCCAATCGAATAATGGAATTATTTGTATTCGTTTAAATCGAATAACTCATTATTCGTATTCGTACGAATAATAAAATGATTGTTCGATTCGATTCAATTAGAAAATTTTATTTAACCTTAAATTAAAAAAGATAGCATATTAAATTTATTTTGTATAATTTAACTATGGATAAAAGACAAACAAATTTTATTAATAAGATAATATAGATACATATATAGTATATTTATATATAATGTAGAAAAATCAATATAATATTCATATCATGTAGAAGACAAATACACCAACAACATCTTTTTAAACATAAAGTTATTGCAAAAAGTCAAATTTATGATTTCTCCATCATCAAACAAAGGAGAAATATCTGGTTCGCCCGTCATTCTTGACGGGATAGCTACTAGTTATTTATAATTGTATTGGTGTTATAAATTACATATAAATAAATACTTTCTTCGTCCATCATAAAAAAATTTTCGAAAGTTAATTTTGTATTATGAATTATTCGAATAAAAACAGCCATTAACAACATTTAAAAATATAAAATGTTTCTTCATTATTCCACTAGGAAATTTTATTAAATAGGAATAATTGCAAATAATTCCTTCTAATAATATATGATTATTTTTCGATATTTATTAATATAAATTATTTTAATCGAATAATTCGATCGAATAATATATTTTTCTTATTCGAATTCGAATCGAATAATTGTGTTATTTGTATTCGTAAAATACGAATCAAATCGAATCGAATAACAAATAATTCGTTTTAGGTATATGTTAGGCATTAAATATCATATGTTTTAGTGTTCATGACAATGACATATACATTATTAAAAAATAAATCAAGATAAACTTTTATCTTATTTAATCAGTCTTCAGTCGGATCGGACCATCGAACCGTGAGCTCAGATTTTAATGTTTGCAAATGATTTTTTAACAGCTTAATTATTTTCAAGATCTTGACTCTGCAAAATTGTTGATAATATAGATTTAAATTTAAATCAGGTGTATTTCAAAGGCCTTCGTTGTATATTATAACATTTTTTTTAATATAAAACATAAGAATATGAACTCAGAAATTTATAAATTTATTCGCATTGGAATTTACACGGGCTGTTTCTTCTAAGCGAAATATTTAAAATCCAAAAAAGTTAAATTTATGTTAGAATAAATTGCCATGTAATTTTGATTCATACTCTTAGAAACCACAAAAAGAAAGTAAAAAAAACATGAATATTGAATTATTTTTTATTTATTTGTCAAAATTAATAGAATTCGATAAGAAATTGGGAATTCTAAAAAAAATTTATTATGGGCTCCATACCTGATTTCGTTTCACTCATTATCGTTAGATTAACTTACTATGGCTCAAAAATCTAGTAGAAAAAGGAACTTCTACTAAATTTAGCTAAAAGAGAAATTCTACTTAAGGTAGCAAAAATAGGAAATTATAATAGAAATTGATTATATTATAGTCTTAAAATAAACCTTTACGCCGTGCTCTAGCTCGTTTTATTATTTTGTTTATTCGATTTTAAAACAGGACACGCTATATTGGGTTGTTTTAAGTGTGCACATTAAAAATAAAATTATTTTTTATTTATATATTATAAACGGTACAAATAAATACACAAATACGTGTTACCTTTAATAAAAATCTAAATAGGCTCTTTCTTTTTAGGCTGTTTAGAAGAAGCTAAATAGATGGCTAAACAGATTATTATTTAGAAATAAGGCTAACCAAGACACGGCCTTATTCCTTATTTAAAAATATTGGCTACAATCTTCCTTATTTTTTTAAATTTTGATCAGAGAATTATGTACGTTCACAGTTTTAAATGAACGCCGTTTCCTACAACCGGTATAAGTGAATATCAAGGATGTGAACCAAAATAGTGTTCAAAAATTTTAAACTCTCTTTATCGGAAATTTTGATAAACAACTCAATCCCACCTATTTCCCAAAAGAGGGTTGAACCCGCTCCGGGCCCATCTTACATATAGTTCGAGGGGTTCTTCATAAATAAGTTCCTGTTTGAATTGTGGTTTAAAATGTCCAACAAACCATTTTAAATTCCTGAACCCTATTTGGATTCACATCCCTTGTAAATATCCCACTACTTAAAAAAGTAAATAAAGAATTTAATATTTAGGTCAAGATATGATGTGTACTAATGGATACTTAACTTATATTAAATATGGGCGAAATAGGATATTGTTCCAAAAGTGTAATGCTAAATTCCCAGATTTTTAAATTTATTTAAGGAGAATATTCTTAATCTTATATATGGGTAGCATGTGGCCTAGAATAATTTTTAAATATGGGCTATTTAGGCATCGGTTGCCTGTAGTATGTGTATGAGTCGTTTATAAAATTTGTATTTGTAAATATATAATATGACTTTGAGTCTATTTTGTTGAAATTTACAGAAAATATTTTAAATATTCATCATAATTTAATTTTATTTCTTTATATATACATCATTATTTACAAAATATTTGCAATGATTATTGCTTATAAATATAATTTTGTAAACGTTAAAAACCCATATCCCATTGTATTTTCGGCGTTATTTTCTTGATAGATATAGATTTAATAATATCACCGGGTTTATACTCGATACCGTTATCATCTTCTAAAGACAAGCCACATTCGTTATTTTTACTGATGCTATCGACCTCCGTTTTAAAATGTTTTAGAGTCCTTATTTTTCCTGACAATTTTATAATAAAATAATATATATTGAAAAATGCCTTTTATGAGATATATTTGAAATATAATTTGTAATTCATGTAGGTGAAAAAGTTTACTTTTTAAAAATTATATGTGCAACAAAATAAATGACTCGAGCAAATGGTTATCTGAATTAACAGGAATAATATGGGATTCGTGTTATCAAACAATTTTAAAAAAATGGCAGATAAAACAAATAACATTACATTAAAATGAGATATAAGTACTTTTCCAATTAACTATTTTCGAATAAAATCTTCCTTAACACTATTAATTTTTAAATTAATAGGTATAAAGTATCTGCGTCGAATCCATTTTTTTTAATTCTGGCCCATAAAATTCCAGTTGCGACTGATCTTTTTCTTCAAAATCCGACTTGAGTGAAAATTTATTAATCAATGTCGATGTCACAGATCAGAACTTAGACAGACATTCCCTAGATCGAATCGAACCTAAATATCGAAATTATAATCTGATATGGCAGACTCGCTCGATAAAATTTTAAATTATTCCTAATGTTTATATAGATATACGTCAATTCGGCGCCTATCTAATACAGTTGCAATTTATAAGTATAAAACAAAAGGATAGCTATCATGTTGAGTGTTGGATATCAAAAAAAGAATTAATTTAATAAAAAAAATATTTTTATCTAATTTCTTTGGTGGACCAATTTACCATGTTATAAGATATGTTAATCCAAAAAAAAATTATTCTTTAGAAAGTAACTAACAAAAGGAAAGTCTCATGCTAGAGTTTAAATTTTCCAATCATATCCAACGATTGTATTAATTTAGAAAATAATTATTGACTTAAATAGTTTTTCCTTAAAAACTGACTCATTTTAGAGATTTATTAAAATTCCTTAGAATAATTCTATTAATCATAAAAAATAAATATTATTTTGAAATCAGGGTTTCTAAACCGAACGACACCGGAACGAACCGTTATGATTTTCTTAACCGTAACCGAATTTTTATAAAAAAATATTAAAAAAGCCAACCGAGTTGTTATAAATATTCTTGAGCCGATTTAAATCGGTTCACAATGGTTTTTAAAAATAATTAATTTAAAATTATTAACCAAAATTTGAAATTTTAATTTTCCTTGGGGGAAATTTAAATTCGTATTTTTTTCAAATTAAAATTTTGCTATTATCTTTATATCAATAAATACCACATAGTCAATTTACTAGAGATTAGGCAAATTGCTAGTTATAGATAAAAAATAATCTTAATAGTTAAATTATATAAAGAATTATAAAAATATAAATCAAAAAGACTTTTCTATAAGAGAAATATAAATATGGTTTATGATAAATTTTTTAACGATATAAATTCTAAACCGAACTTATATGATATTCTTCAAAAAACCCAGAAGGAACAAAATCTTTATAAAATTTTAAACTAAAAACCGAAACGAACCGTTATATTTAACGATTCGTAACTCTGGTTTAAATAACTTGATTTTTTTTGGATCAACATATCTTATAATATAGCAAATTGGTCCATCAAAGAAATCGGTATAAATAATGATTTGTTAATTTTTTTGATAATATTAAATTTTTTAATGATATTACACATTATAAATAAAATTGAGTGAAGAAGTAATTAAAAGGACCAACATTCAAAATGACTTCTATTTAATCATCCTTTTGGTTTATACTAATAAATTTATAACAAATTGTATTGTATTAGATAGCCGAATTGTCGTGCGCCAATTCAGGGCCGAATTGACGTGGAACCGTTTTTATAAATATTATTTTTCAAGAATAACGTCTAAATTTTTTATTTTCCTTCAGCATTAATATTTTTTCCACTTTTATTACAATATACTTTTTAAAAAGGCCCAATAAAAAAATCAAATCGGAACTTTGAAAAAAGATAAATTTTAAATTTTTTCTCGGATCGGGCCGAGCCTGAAAAAATTGGTTATATGCCGGGCTCTGAATAAAGGGAGGAGTCTTTCCATCTTGAAAATATAAAACCTCTGTAAATAATATTGTCGGCTCTGATAACGTGAATGATATCGCATTTTTTAGATATAAAACCATTTTCGACCATACATCCAGCCACACGTACTTTATTCTTGCCTTCCGTTATAACGAATTCTTGGTGAACTCTAGCCTCACCTATTTTTAAAAACAAGGGTGTAACATGAATCAAAAACTATATAAATAAATATCTATACTGTAATAGTTAGTGGATGGGAATAAGAGATACCGTATAAGGAATGAATATAAAAAAATTTAAACGAATAATACGAAAGTCAAAAAATTCACATTTAAAAATTCCGAGTTCCGCCATTTTGTTTTTATTATTTTTCTATACATGTTAATTTAATATCACTCATATTAGTTTAGATACTCCGTAATTTGTACATTATATAAATGAAATTTATTTTTTATTGTAAATAAGCGTCAACCTAAAATTTCTTCTTTATCTAACAAGGGCATAATTTGGGTCATTTCCTGGACCAAATCATCTAGAAGCTTGTAAATGATTTTGTGATTTTTTATACGCGTAGAAATGTGTTTACCGTGCTTATTATTATCATCTCCGATATTAAATGTGTAGATAACGCCTAATTTTTAAATGATAAATTAAATTAAAATATCAGGGATCCGCTAGCTAACCCCCGACCCTCTTGAAAATTGGGCCTCTCCTATTTTTTCCTTTAAACCCTGGCGCGACAAAAAAATATCTCAATGTTTATTATTTGATTAGAAAAGTAATATATTATTAAAAATCACGTGAATGTGAATGCCTTCTTTTCTTTCTCTCTCTCACCTTTAAATGTTTCGACTAATTCTATGTCAAAATCGGTGACAGGTCCTATTCCGTAATGCAAGATATTTAAGGAGCAATGATTGCGAGTCTCGTCAAACGTTTGTAATATGTCGAGTATGGCCTCTACAGATCCCATGACATCAGCTTTCATAAATATTTACATAATATAAAATATTATTGATTTTAAAAATTACACCATATGTATTTGTATATATTTTATATTTTAATAAAATGAGAATCATAGGTAAACAATTACTATATAATGTCGTATTAGGATATAAAATTCATGGGGATTTGAAAATACTTAATTTTAGATCATTTATTGAGGGTGACTTTTAAATTTAGAATATCGGATAATGTAATTCAGCATATGTAGAGTATAATTACCCTATGAATTTATGACAATTTTTGCCAATAATTAATTTATACGAAAAATTAATTGGTTCAGAATATGGTAAAATTGTTCAGTGCTGGTACTCCTTACGTGCTGGGATACATTTCCAGTCAAATAAGATTCCCCAAATTTAAAAATCAACTTCATTATCTGAATCACCATGGATTCTATACTCAATACGACATATACTATATTAGATTTTTATATTTTTAAGTAAAATATTCAGGATTTTTTTTCTTCATGTTTTGATAGTCAGAAAATGTTTAAAAAAAAATCTGTTTAAAGGTTTTCCGCGCCCACTTCCCCTCCATTATGAGATTATGAATAACTCCTTAATATACTAAATGGCACCCACTATAGCTATATAATGGTAAAAATGTTTAATCTTGATTTTCACAATACAACATTTTGCATATTTATATGAAAATGTTACATATTTTAAATATTTAATCCATACACTATGTAATGATTATTTTTATTATTTTTAAGTATTATAAAATACTTTTTTCCCGAGTCATATATTCTTTTCAAACAAAATTTTATTTAGAAAAAACTAGTTTCTCCTTATAAAGGCATTTAAAATCAAGCTAATTATTACCTTTCAATATGATGGAAAAACGGGGCTTGTTGGCTTTTAGGAGCGAAAGATTATCTTCCTCCTTCTGGCTATCGTATTGCTGAGAAGACAAGGATTTCGGCAAATTTTTGAATTTCAGAGCTTTCTTCATTTCCAAATCTTTTTTATAGCTAATTTCCATTTAAAAAAAATGTTATTGATATTTGATGTGAATGATTTTAGATTTTATTATTTTGTAATATAAAACATAATCTCTAGAGTGGAAATTTCTATATAAGCAACACTGTAATTCTAAATATTTTAAACCAGCTTGTTAAAAAAAAGCTTTCCGTTATTTTTTTTAAAAATTAATTTCAACTTAATTGAATCCAAATTTCCATAAAAAATAAAAATAATATTGTCTTATCATAGCATAATATTTATTATGGTAAAAAAATACTTGTTTATATAAAAAGAAAATATTTACTATACTACAGATATTTTTATAATTTATTTGAAAATTTTATAAATTTATTCTAATAAATTCCAAGGATATCTTTGATTATCACACGTATTTTGCTTTTCTAACTTTACTGATGATGTAGTTAAAACATTAGAAAAGGTGAAGCATCCCAATTTGATAAAAAGATTGTATGAAAAGTATCGCCAATCATCTGCAATATTTTTCACAGTTAGCGAATTTTTATCCATCAAACTGCATATACAAATTGTATTTGCGATTTTCTTTGCTTTCTCGATGATGTTAGGAATGGGAGTCACCAGATTCGATCAAATTATCCACAAAATCTTGAAAGTCATTTGGAACTATATTGAATTTTAAGATTTTAGATAAATATGGTATTTCTTCTCCTTCATACATTTTTCAGAAGTCAAGATCTATGTTCCAATAAATTAAAAAGACCAATTAAAGTTCGTTTAAGTTTTATATATTAAGTCTGGAATGATTTTATATACTTGTTTATTTTTATTTCTATTAATTTGGATTACGAGGGGAAAAAATCTCTTTTTGCTAAAACAGGATGTATTTAAACGCCTCATTTTCCAATCCAATTGAAACATCCTTTTCTAAATTTATAATTGCCTTTTTTGATCACCTAATTGAATTATCATTTCTCATAAAGTTAATTAAATACCTTAGCTTGCATAGCGCCATTTCTTCTTATATCTCAGGACTAAATTATAGTTAAAGGTAGTACTTATATAGAGGGATGGATACACAATATCTGCCCAGCGTAGACCTAATACCCGATTTTTTCTATTTCTAAATTATTTGTAATTTTATATGGCTCACATTAATTTTTGCTTGATTATTGGTGATAAATTGAATATAAATTTTATCCAAGAACAGGTTAAAATAATTCACTCGTTTCCGTATAGCAAACGAAATAAATTTTCTATGGTCGCACATGTTTTTTTATTTTTTCGTTTTTTAAAAATTTTTTGACATTCGGTTTGCAAGCGTTGCAAATTTTTTTAACAAAGGGTTAGCATATATAGAAAAATTATTTTAACGGCTTGAGAATTTCTTTTTTCAGCGCAGTAAATAAGAGTGGCATAAATCGAAACTCGAGAGCCGTGATAATATTACCCTTCAGCATTGAAAAAATAAGAAATCAAAATTGATTTATAACAAATTATTTATTTAATTACTTGACTAAATGTTCTTTCCGCTTTAAGTCAATGATCTTCCAATCGTTTTCAAGTTTTTCCACCTTTTCAAGATCAGTCCTAAACCTGATTATTTCCTTGGCTCTATCCTTTTAATCGAAAATATTATATTTTTTTAACTTATTTTGTTACACTCATTTCAGCGTAATCGCCTAAAAACGTTAGTCTCTCAGTAATATAACATCATTTTATATGTTTAATAAACATTTTAAAACATCCAGAATTAAAAAAATTGCAACTATATTTTATGAACGTTTAAGTTTGAGTCAGTCCATTACAGTCGGGTTATGATTAAAGAACTTTATTAAACTCGTATGGGGATCGGTGTATAAATCAATAGCATCATCGCCATGTAGGATCCCGCCTCCTATTTTTTAGATTACCAATTAATATACTACTAACTCCCCCCCCCTCATCTCCCATTTAAAAAATAATAATTGGCATTTTTAATGCAAAAAAATAAAATATATTGAAAATGGTAAAATTCAAATTTAATAGGAATTCCATTGAATAAAGGCATTCAATTCGAAATCTTTATGATATTAAGTACAAGACAAGTTTAAAGCTATAGCTGTAAAAAAACAATGCTGATCATGCTTTAAGATATATAAGATATTTTTGTATGATTTGTAAATAAAGAAACATAATTCAAGACAAACCAGTTAATAGATCATTAAATCTGAGCTTCTTTAAAAAAATAATATCAAATTTAGATTCTACCCCCATTTTTTACTCCCTACCCCCTAGAAACTTACCTACCTTACCCCGGAAATATATAGAGATAAATGGAACCTAACTCTATAGGTCATGTAGCCATTGCAATCTATAAAAGAACTATAAATTTGTTAAGGATTAATGATAAAAATACATGTATTTCAATGGTGCTATAAGTAGTACCACAATAATGCTAGAAAGAAATTTAAGTAAAATTGTTAAGATTTCTGCGAGTCAATTATTACTCCCCTGTAATATTTATTATTTTAAATCTGCTATAAGATGGATGTTTTATATTGCATAGACTTAATGGCTATGCAAATAGTGGAACGTTGTGTAATGACTCAAATTCATTTTTTATTTTGTTTCAGATATTGAAGAGCCGTTTAAAAAAAATTAAATTTCGATTAAATTAGGCTAAATACAATGATATCATTTGCATAATTGTAAATATAATATAAAGATATTTATACATTATTTAGAGTGGTAGTGAATGTGATCAAACCGGAAATTGGACTAATCATTCTTTCATTTACCTCACCATTTACTGCACAATTTATCTGAATTTCCGAATTTATTTAAACTATATATCCATCCCGTCGGTGCACGGCCAAAAGGGTGACCAGTATAAGATAAAATTAGTTGAAACTAAGCTAAGAAACAGAGGTATTTAAAATTTATAACTTTTTATACTTTTTAACAGAGACCTGCAGGGATACTATTTGCACGGCCCGGCCCTGATTTTTTAAAAATATTTTATTTATTTTTAAATTTTTATAGCTAATAAAGACGATTAAAAATATATGGTTTAAAATATAAGGCCAGGCCCAGGTTAAAAAAATTAAAATACGGCACGGGTCATGTACCCTCTGACCTGCAAATCCCTGCTTTTTAATATGGGATGTGGCTGTATCATAGGATAATCTATAGGGGTAAGAATAATGAGTTCGAGGGAAGATAGATAGCACTGGTGTGAGTCATAACTTTGAGATTATAAAGGTAATAAAAACTATAGAAAAGCTCAATAACTTAAGCAATATTTATGTTTAGTTATATTTGCTCTCACGTTTCAAAACAACTCACATGTAACATTATACCTTTATTATTCGAAATATAAGGTTTTGCCAAAACTTATTTGAAGATTTAAAACTTTCTCACATTTTAAGGGAAATTTTACGTTAAATTTTGAAAAGAAAATATTAAGATAATTAATGTTTTGGATATGTTTTTTATTTCGATAGAAAATCGTTCATTTTTTTTGGATTAAAGTTTTCGAAAATTTGTAAAAAAATAAGTTCTGGACACAGCCTAAAGCCACTTCCAAACAAGTGGTATTTTTTAAAAGAATTTCCTGTGCATGTTTCCATTTTTTTTATTTCCAAACAAATGATAATAGTTTGTCGATTAATTTTTCAGTATAATATAAATTTGCCATCATTTCAATCGTTAATATAATTAGAAAGTCTAATATATTCTGTTGACAATTATTGTCAAATTCAAATTAACTTATAAAAAACACACCTATTGAATCAACTTCAAGAAAAGATGAAAGAAAATGCGAGTTCGATTAAAAAAAAATTTAGACAAATCTTATAAACAGTATTCTTCTAACTTTTTAACACACATTCTCTTTTGAAATGAACATAACAATAACTAAAATTAATTTCTAAATCATTTTTAACATTCATAAAGAAAAATTGAGGGGAAACAAAGAACAATAAATTTAAGTAATAATTGAAGAAAAGAAAAATAGCCACCTCATTTTCAACTTGGTATAAGGTGGAACCGACGGCTGGTAGTTCGCCTCCCGAGCTATCTCCGCTGCTTTTCCAGCCCACGATCTCTACAGGTAGACCCGGGGTAACTTGATGTAGAGTTCGACCATCTTGATCAAACATGGCTCTCACCCTGGCCCACATGGGTAATTGATTGGTGTGTTCGGGTAGTTGACTAGCAGTTTCTTGCGTTTGGATGGTATTGATAGGAGAAGAGGCAGGGAGTGAAAGGAGGATATCCCCTTTGCTGAGCGTCCCGCGATGAATAATGGCGCTGCATAAGACTCTTTTATTTTAATAAAAAGAAGAAGAAACTTTTATCAGATCATATACCTAATGAAATACAATTTATAATTTAAAAAATAATATTTCATATTAGCAAACCTTTATCACAGTGCTCAAACACCCCCTAAATTTAAATTTGATGATATAAAATATTCTCGGCCTCGAGCAAAAACGTTGTCAATATTTGAGCAAAACATCTCTCGATTATTTAAAAACTAAATATACCATCTTCTACATTTAATATATCTTAAAAAGCCCATTTTCTGCCACCCATATTAGTTCAATTTAGCTCAAAAGTTTTTTAAAACATTCCCACTATTTCGCAATATTATTATACCATAACTCGAAAAAATTATAATGTACCCTCTATTCTTATCAATTTTGGACTCGATGATAACTCCTTCAACCAGACCTTCGTAGTCAGCTTTGATATTCAGTATTTCAGCTTCAGCCATAATGGCTTCTAGTAATTGGTCTATATTAGTGCCCTTTATTATTTTAATATTATTTTTTTTTTTAATTATTAACCTTTTAGTAAGAGTGGGAATTTCACTGTAATTTAAAATGGTATGAATGAAACTTTTAAAGCGGATATAGGAACAGCTTGTATGTCTCCGCCGTAATCTTCGACAGTGACACCGAAACCTGAAAGGTCTCTTTTAACCTTTTCCTTTGTTTATTAAAGATATATATATGTATATACTATATTCATTTATATTAAAATAAATAGGAAATTAATAAATTTTACAGAATAATCTGATCATTTTATATATATTTTATTTGGTTTTATATACTATGTCTGATTTTTCTTTGTCGATTTTATTGATGGCAACTATGATCGGAACTGTTTGAAGATTGATTCATTTTTTTTGTACATATAAAAATACAAGTTTAACACGGATTCAAAATTACAAATTCTATATGATAAAGGGTAGCAAGGGCGTTGTTTTTTTTAAAGAATTTTAAGTTATAAATAATATCAATTTAGTCTTGAACCTAACAATATTTCTTTTTCTATTCTGAAAAATGGTAATCTAAATAGATTAGGTTCAATCCCGCTTCAAACTTTTTTTAAAATATATTCCAAAACAATAAAAAGACACAAAATTTTTAAATATTAAATTCTACATAACTTAAGTTTTTTTCAAATATTTTGTAATCTAGATTTGTCAAAAAAGTTTATTTTGAAATCCCAAGTACATCTTCTTTCTAAAAAAACGGGAAAAAATTCAATGTAACCTAGTTTTTCTTATTTTTTTTAAAACCAACATTATTTACAACGAAAAAACTCCGGTTAAAATGTAATATATAATATTCATTAATTTGCAAAAACGAAAATGTGCTATCATGTCCAAACATATATTATTTTATATAACATTTATTTTTTTCAAAGGCAAACTAATTATCAGAGTTGTTAAAAGATACTTTTTAAATGGATCTAGATACAGATACATCGTCTAAAAATTTATCTAGATACAGATACAGCTTCTAAAAAGTTATCTAGATACAGATACAATTTAAAATGTATCTAGATACAGATACATTTTTTATTATACTCTTAGATAAGGTTTGAATAAACCTAAATTAGGATTTTATTGTGAAAATTCATGAAATGATCTAAAAAATTTATTGACTCGATAACATTTATCAAAATATAAATAAAATAATGATTTTTAGATATTAATATAATATATGATTTTTAGATATTAATATAATATATGATTAATATAAATAATTATTATATATCATTAATAAAATAATATAATTAATAAATGATTATAATTTATAAATAGTTATTAGATTTCAGTAATAAAATATTTTCAAAATTTTGGTCATTAAGACATCCTCGTTTATCTGAAAAGACCTTTTTAGCTATACTAAAAAGTCTTTCAACAGGGGCACTGGAAGAAATTGTGGTGTTATATTTAATGAATAACATTTTTATATCAGGATATTGTTTAAAAATACTAAAATCTTATCGGCATTCATTTTTGAAAAAATATTTAAAATTTGTTGATTATCAGAATTTAAATCATTAACAATCATATCTCCTGCTGTGGGATACTGAAAAAAATCGGATATTAAATTATTGGTTTTTTTTACACAGGTTTATGATTCTGATATTCCAAAATCCTGAGCAGTAGTATAAAGATCTGATATTGATATTAGTGCAACTGTTTCTTCATCTTCCAGATCATCTATGAATTCACTAATATTTTCAATTGGCTTGAAAACTCTATCATAAATAAGTAATATTATGTTTATATTTATAATAAAATAAACCTAAAAGACTTAATAAAGTTTTTGGCATTATTAGTAATGCTCTTTGAGATTTTATTTTGTATGCAATAATCCTTTGCTATATCTTGTAAATTTTTTGCTATTTTATCATATGTATGAATGACTACCATTCTTTTACAAGCCAACGCTACATTTTTTCTTTCCAAACTTGTTGGATCTATATAGTGTGCAGTGACTCCTATGTATGAACTAAAAATTAACATTTCTTAAAACTGCTCAAATAATTTGTTTGTAAATAAATTATTATACAAATTTAAATGTTAGCTATACCGGCGATAGGCACTCCAACAATCTGCTGTTGTACATATTAACTATGGTTCTATTAGACTTTTAATGATTTCTTTTTTTTCATTCTCCCATCTTTGTGAGATTCTAACAACTACTGTCTGTCGGCAAATTATATTTTTTTGTAAAGCTAATGTATGAAGGATTTTCAACAATTGAAAATGGCTGAATGCTATCTATAATAAAATCAGTTATTAAATCATCTAAAGTGGTTTGGGTTAAAGTCTGAGGTCTCTTGGAAAAAAAATCAATGGACGATGAGCCTAGTCCAATATTTTCTTTAATAGGTTTTTTCTCCTTCCCCTTTTTTATTTGGATCAAGAGTGTTTGATGCTTTCTCTTAAAATTTAAAATTGTAAACATTTATTTAGTATCTATACCCTTAAATGTTTCACAATGTTGCAAGTTGAGGTAATGCTAACTGAAATTTGCATATTTTTTGGTAGACATGGCAAACATTTTACTAACAGAGATTTGTTTTCTTTATTTTGAGATATTATTTTAAAATATGGTCTATAAATTGGCCATGGAAGAATGTCGTCATTTTCGTCATCAATATTAATCTCAAAAATTAATATAATAGAATATAATAAAATAAAATACCAATTCCATTGCAATTAAAAATGGCAAATTCCTTAAGATGGATTGTAATATCAGAATTTGCTTGTTATTGATAACTCGGACATAATATTTAATTAATATTTATATATTCTCTTTATATATAAGTTTTAATATTTTACATATATATATATATATATAATTTTTTAATATATATATTAATATTAAGTTATATGCTCATATGAAATAAAATAAATTTTACATTCAAATATTTTTATTTATAATATAAAAAAGCGTTAAATAGAAGTATATCAAAATGTATCTTAAATTGTATCTAAAAACAGATACAGATACATCTAAAATAATATCTAGATACAGATACTTTAATCAAAAATCTATCTAGATACAGATACCACATTTTTATATCTAGATACTTTAACAACTCTGCTAATTATACACTAAAAGCATATTGATGACTAGGTTAGATGTTAGCTATTTAATATTTAGGCATAATAATATCAATTAAATTTTTATTAAAACCTTTGCACTCGTTAGCGAATCGGATAGATTGTATCGTCTGCTCCATTACGCTGTCGTCGGCCGCCACCACAAGGATTGCTATATCGGTCAAGCGACAACCGCGAGATCTCATGCTGGCGAAAGCGGCGTGGCCCGGGGTGTCCACAAAAGTTATCAAATTATTCTCAAGCGGTTGATCATCTAATTTGGCTTTATTTGAAATAAAATTTAAAAAAATATATATTTTGAAATTTTCATCGCGATCTCTATTTTTTTAAGTGGAAAATACTGAAGAAGTAGTACGCATTTGAAGTCTGCAAAACCCGACCCAAATAGAGAGGGTGGAGAAATGGTAATTATTTATTATTTTTGCGTTAGATCGATTTTGGAGGGGAGGGGAATATTTTTTCGATAGTTTTATTTAATGATATTTTATAATATTGGAATCAAGTTTTATGTTATACATTCTAGTTTGATTCAGTGATTATTAGTTGTTAAATACTATATGAAAAAAAAATTTTTAAAGAGCGGTAAAAAAAATTTAAAAATAGCGTCTTCTAATCTCTCATATTTAGGCATTAAAAACTAATATATAGTATTGTTAGAAAGAGTGGCTACCTTTTAAGAATTTCATCAACCCGCCTTTCTCCTAATAAACATACATCCTATTTCCTTTCTATGGAATGGTTGTTTTTTCGTAATACTCACGAAAGTTTAATTTTTACAAAATATTCTGAATTTTGCAATCTTTTGTCAGTTATATTCAAAAAAAATATTAGGCCAATTTTATTTTTGAATCATAAAATACTACTCACCTTTAAATAATTAATTGGCAGTTTGCCATGCAAATTCCCAAAACAGATTATAAATAATAAATAACTATTATATTAAAAATTGGTCCCTAAATTTGTCGAAATGTTCCCTTTTTTAAATTTAATAATAATTTATTAAAATATCAAAATAATTTGATTTTATAATTTAATGGTTCACATGTTATAATATAATAATGCTAGAAAATTTGCGCAAATTCTTAATCAAAACTCCACAAAATTTAAAAAAGGTGTGATAATAAGATGTAGAATGAAGATGATATTTTAAAGAAAAATAAAGTGTTATTTTTTGATCAATAATATTTTTTTTTTATATTAAAATAGGTTAAGTGACAAATGAATTTATAAAAAATTTTAAAACTTCATTAAATGGAATGAAATAAATGTTTTTAAAACAAAATTGAAAGGAAGAAAAGAAAGAAAAAACATTTTAATATACTGTAATACGTAAAACAATGGGGAGTTATTTGACTCCAATTGATACATTTTAAAAAAAAATGTATATTAGTAATAAAAAAAGGTTAGATTATTGCGACATTTCTTCATTATTTTAAAAACAAAATTGTTATAATCATTTTTTTTTAAATGTCACGAAATCTTAATGTTATCAAAATCAAAATATTATATTATTTTTTCATCTCGAAGGGTAGAATTTAAGTTAAATCAATTTGTGATTCTAAATCATATCCAATTTAATCTGGCCCATTTTTCCTCCATTTGATTTTACTTTTGATTACATTCGAAAAATAGATTTAAACTAGGTTCAGCTGTATACTAAATATTTAATACTTATCAATTTATTATCGACATCTTAATTTAATGAAACGCCGGTAATCAACAACAAAATTTGTAAAAAAAAAAGAAGTCTGAAATAAATTTTCGAGAAGGATGATTTTATTATGGTCCATCATAGCTTGCATAAATTTTGGACCCGCTTATCAACAATCGCTGCCCGCTAGAAGACGGGTCTTGTTTGTTCGTAAAAATTACTCGAAAAACTTATCGACGTCGCAACCCGACCTCTTAATAATCAAGACACCGTCACTCAATAACAACATGTTATTTTCGAAACCGCGCTCCTATATTTGTTGCGATGAAATTTACAAAAAATATGACTTTATCAAAAAAAACGGTTATGATCCATCTATTACGGTGAGAAAGTACAATTCAAAGATGGCGAGAAAATACTATGCCGACGATAAGAATATATCGGAAAAATCCAGATCCAAAAATTTCATAATAGATTACAGGGACGATGACGACGATATCAAGAAACGCCCGTCGGCCTTTTACCACGACATATTCGGCACGATCCCCAAGTCAGATACGGGAAATTATTGGTTTCCTAATGGTAAAGAGCTGATGAATAAAATTGTGGGGCCCATGAAAAAGGATAAGAGGCAATCTATGATGGATGTAAAATCAGATATCGATTACAACGAAACATATGAAACGCGAAAACCGTTAACTAAAAATCCATCTGGGGTATCTGATTTGGAGGAGAAAGAAAGTAGAATTAATATCATTTTTTCGGGAATGGATGAGGAAGCTAAAGAAATAGAAAAAAACAAAGTACCCGATACCGAGGACCGAATAATCACATCAGATTATGTTCGAGTGGTTACGAGACCGCTCAAAATAATTTCCCCGAAAAATGTGGAATTTGAAAAGAATCAAGAATCTACCGCGGTTGATTATAACGTAATAAAAAGTCATTCCGATTACAAAGACATTAGATCGTCGGCAGTGAAAGATGATGCTTATGCCAATCCTGCTAGAAACGTGTATCAATTCTACCAAGATGATAAAGATTGGAAGGATAAACAAAGACATGGGGTCAATTTTCGATCCTATTATTATCCAGTCTCGGCATTGGATTATAGGTGGTGGCCAGTTAAGAGGGCAGAAGACATGGTTAAAGCTCATACGTATAAACTAGGCAGCGTGAATCATAATGCTGACAAGGACGTAAAGGAAAAAATTATGACGCGCAGTAGCAAAGCTAAGGACTTGTTGATGACAAGCTTGAAACAAACCTACGACAAAATAATCGCAGGATCCAACAAAAAAATAAACTTAAACGCTTCGTTAAACGCTAGCGGTGTCGAACTTAATACTTTTCGAAACAGCAAAAGTATATATTATAATAACATCGATGATGATGAATATAAAACTGATGAATCGATGATTGAACCCTCCCCCGAAAGCCTTAAAAACACCTACGGTGGCGTGATGACACTGAATCTTAGAAATGATGATTCCAATAATGTGAAAATTTTAAAGGACTCTAACTTAACAAATAAAAACATGGAAAAAATTGACGAGATATTTGACCCTCAAGAAAGCAGTACCATAGACGACGAAAATTCGTTCGTATACGTGATAATGGATAAAGCCTTCCCCGTTTTGGCCATAGAACCGACGCTTACCGATAAATCAAGTTTGCCTTTCGATTTTGGAAATAGTAGACCATACGCTATGTCGGCTCTCTTCGAGAACGATTTAGAAGATAGAGAGGGTAAAATATAAACTTGATTTTTGAAAGATAAATATCTTTTTTTTTGAGGAAAGATCAATGCAAGGGAAGCAGTATTAAATAGAAAGAATTCATCTATAAGATTCAGAAAAACTCCCAATTTAAAATTTTTACTCCCGTTTGTAAATAAAATAAATATTCACACCATTTAATCCTGAAATTATGACTAGCGCAAGTCTAGCCCAAAAAGAATCGCGGAATATTTTAAAGCTAGAATTACTTTCTCTTTATTTGCGCTTCTCGAAGCATTGTAATTGCATAATATCCTTTTTTTAATTTATTAATTATTTTATTGGATTGGGACGAAATTGATTTGATCGAAAAAAAACAATATTTTGGGTGATTTGTATTTAATTCATTAAGAAGCGTTTAGAAATTTGCTAAAACAATCGAATGATGATCACCATTTTTATCAAATCTACGATGATGAGGCCAAAAACGACGAAAAATTAAAATTTTACCTTCATTCCTACAGGATCTTAGCCAAGGAGCTATTCGATGACAAAAATTATCCTCGAATAAAAACTGAGCCCAATGAGGACAGTGATATTTTACTTGATCATTCGAAGTAAACTTGTTTTATTTATATTACTGTGAGATTTGCCTAATTTTAGCATTGAGATTTTTTTTAAAACTCAAATTAGAATAATGACAGCTAATTGTTTAAGGCAAAAAAAGTGTTACTGATAATATAATATACCATTTTACCATGTAAAGTATAATCTATAGGGGGGGGGGGAGGGGGAGAAGTTATTTTTTTTAAGTTGATTATTTACATTTTAAATCTATTTCTAAAGATTAAAATAATAAGTTAAAATCAAAATGATATTTTACGAGTTGTTATATATAAGGGCTTAGTTATTATCAATGGTTCAACAAGTTCATTACTGGTATTGTTAAATGGCTAGATTTTGGTGGCCGATTATTAAAAATGGCCAATTCAATATTTTATCCAGAACAATATTATGCAAGCCTGAAGATTTTGGTCAAACAAGGTAAAAAGTTTGGACATCCATTGGTGAAATCTCGAGGCTTAGGTAACTTTTTCTGGCTAAAATATCGAGTTAGCCATTTTAAAAATCGACTCAAATCTAACCGTTTAACAACACTACCCCTTATAGTGTAGTTAAAATGTTATGATATCCATATTAATGCTTTTTTTTAATCTGTTTTTTAAAATATCAAGTTCCCCCTTGATCAAAAATGGTATGAGTAATTCAATTCCGGAAATAAACTATGCCAACACTTATAAAAAAGTTTTCTCTAACCACGGAATACGCGCTAAAATAAAAGGCAGATACTTCCCTCCTTTGAAGTATTCCTACATCAAAAGAAGGCGATACATGCCGAAAAGAAATCCTTTCGACTTAAATTCGGATAAAAAGGAGAGAAAAGGCAAAATTATTTTTTTCGAAAACCCAGAAACAGACAGCAGAAATCTTCCTATAAACGCAACAAGGGAAGATATCCAAAATGGGGAACAGATTTCTCATTCCGAAGTGAGTGATATTATAATGAAAAAAAGTATAAATAACAAGAAAGATGTCTATTATAGCCAAAGCGTCCCGAAAGGTCATGAATACAATGAAAAAAACAATCTCTTTCCCCGCATATCGAAAAACGATCAGAGCAGGCATCACTACTTGACGGACAGTTTACTAAGGAAATACAAAGATGATAACCCCGACCTCCTGCCTGATAATATGAAAACTCCCAAGCCATCTTGGGAGGAACGAGAGCAAATGTTTACAAATCAAATCAACGCTCAGTCCGGGTTCACACCCTATTTAGATCCGCGTTATATTCAACCCCAAGCAAATAATAAAAATGCGGATAAGGACAACTCGTTAAGAGGCGATGAGACAAACAAAAACTTGAATACATTTATAAAACAAAATTACGTGGAAGGTGAAACTACTACCAAAGTGACTGACTCAAATGAAAGGAGCCAAGATGAAGTTAAAAAATGGATTCCCCCGTTCAATCGCCATCTTAATAGGGTGCCAGGTGGAGCGTCATCTCGGAATGTTCTTCCAGACTTGAAACAATTTTCCCTGTTTGATGGATACAACATACACGATTCCCAACCCAATGACTTTTTTCCAAACAAGGATGAGATTAGTATTACACCCTATATAGATAACTTCGGTAGATATTATGTAACGTCAGATGTAAATGTTGATAATCATGAGGATAATGAGGTGGATGATATGCCCTTGTCAGAAAATCAAAAGGAGGACATGCAGGCTCTCAATCCGGATTACTTCGGTCAGAACAGCAAGATGAAGGATATGATACAATCAATCAAGAATTTGCGCCAATTCAATGTCCAGAACAACAAAAATAATGAAAGTCAGGAGTCTCTTCAATATTATAACCCACTAATGGAATATTTTAGTAAGCGGCGTAAAGTTGCAACTACTCCAAACATTAACATCGAGAGCATAGCTAACCTTGGACGCCCGATGATAAAAAAAGGAGCTGTCCATTACTCGAACAAAAGACCTGTCTTGACAACTCCCCTAATGTATTCTCGGGTACTGAACCCTTACAGACCCAAGAGCAAAGAAATTTCTGGTGCCAGCTCTTATGTACAACATAGGTCACAGCCACCGGAATATATAGCTTACGGGAGTAACCAATTAGCATCGAGGCCATTCAATCAAAATACTCATAAGGATGCTACTACGCCTACAGCGCTTAATGTGTTCCTGGGCAAAAATATGGTACCTATGGTGGATTTTAACGCTAGAGCAAGAACCGGCGACGAGTCTAGCACTTACATAAAAATTTTCCAATATAATAGCGCACCAAAAATAGTGAATAACAAGCCGACTTTTTCTAACGATTACAACAGGCAAAGTGAGTTGATAAATCAAGTGTTACAAAGGGAATTCGATGAGAGAAAGAATAATAAAGCGGATAAATTGAGAAAAAACTCTCCTAGTCCGTTTTACGCAGCGAGAAGAGAGGACGAGATTAGAGGCAACGATCCATCTACAGCCTTTAGGAGCAATGCGAAAAATCCTATTCCCAGTTATAATCCATACGTGGATAGAAGAAACAAAAATGCTGGAGGTAGAAGTAAAGAAGCCGAGACCAATATTAACAGGTACAAGCTGCGATTTTACAAACAACCTTCGAATAACGATGAAGAACTTAAACAAAAAAACACCATGATAAGGAATTACAGATTAAAACTCTCTAAAATTTTGGAATATCTCAAGAGTAGATTTCAGGTTAAAATTGATGGCGATAACATAAGTATCAAAGGGCGTTTAAAAAAATATAAGAATCCGTTAGAGAGTGTAAAACATCTGAAGGAAGCTTTAAAGAACGAATTGGCGAAATCAAACCACAATCATAAAAATGATTATAATGATTACAAAAAAACGCATCGACCGAAATGGATATCTGACAAAGAAAAATTATCACGTGATAAGAGTTATTCGCCAATCCTCGAGAATAGCAAGGATAATCAAGATTACGATGGGAATAGTCCCTACATATGGAGCGGAAAAGAATATGATGGCAGTAACAAGGTGTTTAAGCCGATGGTAAAAGTGATGGCTTCTAAGGAAGGATCCCGTGAGGTTAAATATGGCGGGGTTAAAAAGGAAGACAGATATGATGATGACCAGAAAGTCAAAACCGAGGTCTACTCCTATGATAAAAATGGGTATCTGGAAAAAAGTAAGCAAACAGCTGTCGCGACTGTCATTAAACGAAAAAAACAGGCTAAATTTGATTACTACGATCCGATTAACTCTATCATAAATAAATTGGAGAGGAGTAGACTGAAGAGTAAATCAGATGAAAGACCAAAGGAAACTGACAATAAAATGGCGGACCCGCCGAACAGAGAACGGAAAAATGATCTAATCACCAACCGGCGTTACGAAAAGAAATGGCGAGATAAAAACAAAATCGAGGAGAGCATATACATGTCTGATCTTCCTCTAATTAAATCTCGAGTCAACTCTGAAGGCTCCTTAAAAAGATGGAAAAAGTATCGATACAATGATTGGCCCTTGAGTAATGACGATCCAACGAGCATTTCAGAAAATATGATACATTCACCACAGGCCTCTGTAACATGGGAGAGCTCCAAAAAAGGGGGTTCAAATATGAATACAAAAAATGAGGGTAGGCACCAGCTAGTAAGTAATGGTAATATAGGGGTAGGAAAATCAACAAGTAAAACTGAAGAAAGGGTTTTAAATCTTGAAAACAGTATATTACAACAAGATTTTAGTTTCAAAAAAAACATTACAATAGATAATAATAAAAATGCAAAAAAATTAGTGAATCCTGTCAAGATAATGTCAAGTAAAGGTAAAATGAGTGAAAAAGATTTGCAGAAAATTATTGATTTAATACCCAAGGATCCTACAGAGGGAACAAATTTTATAAAAAATATCTTGCAGATTTTACCAAACGCTAATAAGAAAAAAAGAAAGCAAGTTCTGGACACCACTGATGATGGCTTTATTATTGAAACAGAAAATTATGATAGGTGAACGAATGTTTCAAAATTATTTTTAATTGGTATATTCATTATGGATAATGGTTGGGTAAAAAAAAATGCAATATAAAACTCTTGTAGTATTTTTTTCCTATTGTGCCAAATAATTTTTTTTAAATATTTAAATTATATGTTTTATTTGAGGTTTTTGTTTCATGAGAGTTTTTTTATTTTATTATTATATATTTGTTTGATTCTCCTTGATAACACTTTTCATTACTAAGATAAAATAAATAAGAGTAATCTGTATTTGCAGTAAATGTTTATTTATACATAGTATTTTATGTTTAATTGTATTGAAAAAAATATAAATATTCTAAGCATATTGATAAATTAGTAATTTATTGAACTTTGGTAATAATAAACTGATGCCTAATCAATAATAAATTCATAATAAAATAGGACCTGTAAAAGCTCCTATGTGTTGAGTAATACCTCCAAACTCTTTATCTACCATGGATGTTTTTCTAATTTTATCTAACAATGTTGTTTTACCATGATCGACATGTCCTATAATAACAACAACAGGACATCTTTTTCTGAGTTTTGTGGGATCAGGATCTGGCCTGATTTTTAAAATACACACTAACATTAAAAAATTATAAGAATTTACTGTTTAACAAAATCTTGAAATTTCACTATTTCTTGTACAATCTCTACTTTGGGATCTTTAATAACAATTGTTTTCTTTTGTATAGATTTATAAATTTGGTTTATAATTTTGATATCATCAATTCCTAAAAATTAAAACTAATATTAATTAATAATCTGAGATATTAACTTTGAAAAGGATGTTTGAAGTTCTCTAAACCCTTAATATAAGACATTATTTCAAAAACTTCACCTAAAATAGATGGTTTTGAATATATTTAATTATGTTTTTTTAACTTATAGGTTTCTGCATTGATTCTGAAATTTCATTCAAACTCATACATTGCCAAATCAAGCATGGTTTAGACTTAGTAGTATTTACTTTCTTATCTTTAACAATATATTTCTTTTTAATCAAATCGTATTTTTCATCCTTACTCAGTTTTGATATCTAATTAGGCTATAGTTATATAATCATATATTAATTCTTACGTCTTTTATAAACTTTGTCTTGGATTTTAATACTAGAAATGTGTGAAATTTTTTATTGCACAAGCTAGGTACAATTTTAAAAAACATATGTTAGTTAAAGGATTGCCCTTATAAAAGCACCTTTAACACTTGGGAATAAATAATTAATTATCTATATGAAGTATTGTATATCGCCATGAGATCATGTATTCTTATTAATTATGTTTCAATTTTTACATGACAATTAGTGTTATTAAAGGGCTCTATTTAAGCCGATTTTATTTTAGCCAAGATAACATTGTGTAAGCCTCAAGATTTGGTAGGCAAAAGCCCAAATCTTTCTGCTAATCTATTAGCAAAATAACCAGGCCTATACTATATTATTTTGGTTATAATCTTTATAAGATCGTTTTTTTAAAATAGACCCGAATCGGGATTTTTAACAACACTACTCGAGATTTGGGGCAAAATAATTTGGACATTTATTAAAGAAATCTCGAGATTTGCGTAATGTTATTTTGGCTAAAAACATTTAAAACTGGCTAAATCGAGCTGTTTAACAATGCTAGATAAAATCTTAATCTGGAATGATAACAAGATAAACTATGTTTAAGCTAAAAGATATATTCAATTCTATTCTCTACTTTTCAATTTATCTATATTACAAACATACCATTGAAGTATAGTTATACTAATTAGGTTTATTTGACTGGCAATCACCTCATGGAATATATTAATATATGATTGATTTGTATCTATGACATTTATATCATTGATAATATATATATGACATTTATAACATTGATAATATATAATATAAATCTCATTTATAACATATCCCCACACATATGATCTTACAATTCCTCAATAAGCCGATTTGTAGGTTTCCTGGCTCTTTGTGATTTCCGCGTTTCTAGTTTTCCGTTATCTTCCACATTTTCTAAAATCTCAACTATATCCGACTCTTTATTTTTTATATTTTCCTCTTCTCTCTCTGACTCCATATTTTCTCCATTATCTTTCCCTGGCCCAGACTTCTCCATTTCTTTAGCTACCTCCCTTTTTCGAAGTTGATCCGCATGCTTTCGTACCATTCTATCCTTGCTTTCTACCAAATAAGAATATCTGCCAGTTCTGGATTTTATAATTCCTTCTCTCCAACCTGAATTTATTTCATTATGCACCCATACCGGTTGAGCAATCTCAAATTCTCTCATATGACCATGTTCATCATGCGCTACTTTTTGTCTTATATTCGATCGTTCCATTTCATAACTAACATTAGGACGTAACCAATTCCCGTTTTTAAATTTCGCCCCAATAATAACTTAGCCGGTGAACGTCCAGTTGATTGATGCTCACCCATTCTATATGCTAGCAAAACTTCTCCCATGGCTTCCTCGGGCTCCCTGATGTCTTTCCTAGTTGCAAAATATCGACTCTTGAGGGTTCGTATCGTTCTTTCCGCTAAACCGTTCGTTTTTGGATGGTACGGTGTTGTATGTATCAATTTAATATTTTTCTCGAAACAAAATTTTCGAAATTCTCCAGAAATAAATTGAGGTCTATTATCTGATACGATTTGTCTAGGTGTTCCAAACCGTGCGAACCATTTCCTTAAAACCCTGATCATTGTCGTGGACGTGGTCTCTCTCATTAACTCAACCTCAGCCCATTTAGTATGTGCATCAACTCCAACTAACCATGAATACGAATCAATAGGCCCCGCGAAATTCAAATGAATTCGTTCCCATGGTATATTAGATATGTTCCACGAATATAAAGGAACCTCCATAATATTCGACTGATTACTTTGACAAGGCATACATTGACGAACATATTGTTCAATATCTTTATCGCAATTCGGCCACCAGCAATACATTCTAAAAATTGATTTCATAGCATTTATTCCTGGATGCCCTCTGTGTATAATCGTTAAAATTGATTTCCTCAAAATGGTTGGAATTACCAACCTCCCATTCCATTCAATAACATCATGATCTACTGACAATTCCTCTCTACGATTATAAAAACAAACTAACTCTGTATTTTTTTTCGCATCAAAATCCACCCATCCATGCTCAATGTTTTTAACTACTTTTTTAAACAAGCTATCATTCCTTGTTTCCTTTTGGAGTTCAACTTGACTAATATTTATATCGTGCAAATTTATAACTCTAATTTTTAACGCGTTTTTTTGATCATTATTTGATTTTATGCCATCTATTGGCAGTCTAGATAATGTATCAGCTACTTTATTATCTTTTCCAGGAACATATTCAATATCAAAATCATATGCGGACATTTTCCAAGCCCAGCGCGTTAATCGACTATTGGATATTTTTGGTAGTTCCCGTTTATCACCAAATAATTTTTCCAAAGGTTTGTGATCTGTTCGTAATAAAAATTTTCGACCAAAAATGAATGTATGAAATTTTTCCATACCAAACAAAAGTGCTCGTGCCTCTTTTTCTATTGGTGCATAATTTTTCTCTGACTCTAGAAGTGTTCGCGAGGCAAATGCGATTGGTCTGCTAATATCTTTTTTCACTAAATGACATAACACAGCTCCAAAACCAGTGTTGGAAGCGTCACATTCCAATATAATTGGCAAGTTTGGCGAATATGGATTTACCGTTTTATTTGTTGACAAAAGCTGTTTTATTTTATCAAATACCTCTTGTTCCTTGTCCGATCAACCCCAGCAAGATTTAATGCTTGTGGAGGCGGCAATTCCATGTAGATGTGGCAAAAATCTCTCGTGATAATTCACAAGTCCTAAAAAAGATCGTAATTGGTGTAAATTATTAGGAGTTGGTATCCTTCGAATAGCATCTATTTTTTCTTTCGCTCGATGTATTCCATATTTGTCTATTACGAAACCCAAAAAAGAAACTGATTCATTTAAAAAAACGTATTTTGGCGCATTTTGCCTTCATACCCACCTGTTTTAGTTTCATTAGTACTTTTTTTACGTTATTCAAATGTTCTACATCATTTTTCCCCGTTATGATAATATCGTCAAGATATACTCCAGTCATTTGGCAGTCTTGTAATAAATTGTCCATATATCTTTGAAATATGGTCGGCGCACTAGAAAGACCGAAAGACATACATTGATATTGGAAATAACCAATGTGGGTCGATATGGTTAAGTATTCTTTTGAACTTTCTTTTATTGGTAATTGTAAATATGCATCTTTCAAATCTATTACCGTAAATTTCAATCCATCTTTTAATTTGGTTAAAAGATCATCCACCGTTGGTATAATATGATAATCGTACAAAATATATGGGTTTAAGGTCACCTTAAAATCCGCACAAATCCTGATTTCTCCATTTGTTTTTCGTACGTTTACCGTTGGAGTGGCCCATGTCAATCGTTTTTGTGTTGGATCAATCGCCTTCAATATTCCTGATTTAACCAATCTATCGAGTTCCATTTCAATTGGTTTTCGTAATGGAAAAGGTACTCTACGAGCTGGTTATGATTTCGGCCTTGCTGCCTCACTCAAATGTATGCTAACTTCTATATCATTCACCCGTCTAGGCTTGTCATCAAAAACACTAATAAATTCTGTTGTCATGCCAGCAATTTGTTTATTGGTTGTCATAACCTCTTTATTTGTGATACTACGTATAGTCACTTGTCGTGGAATAAACATATTAAATGCCAGTATCCATGGTAGTCCAAATAATGGAATGTCATTTGAACCGGTCACCACAATCGGTAGTGATCTGCTTATCTTTCCAAGACGAACCCTCACCATAGTTTCACCCAGCACATCTAGCGGTTGGTTACCATATACTGATAAAGGTTTGGTTGGTCCAAGTTTGGGTCGGCCAATTTCATCCCAATATTGTTTCCCAATCACCGATACCTGTGCCCCCGTATCATAGTCAAATTCTATAGGTACTCCATTAATCCAAACAAATATCTTTGCACTATTTCTACCAATTTGGGATATATTATTAATTGAATCTGATGAATCATTGTCATCTATATGCATAGCATGTAACTTCTGTCCCTTACAATATTTAGCATAATGCCCTACCTTTTGGCAATTATAACATTTCACCCTTGATGCAAAACATTGAAAAGGGGGATGAGTTCTTCCACATTTTGAGCATTTATTAAACTTATACATATCATTATTGTTAAATTTATTGTCATCTCTAAACTTAAAATTATTATTATTGTAATAACTAAAATTACCCTTTTCTTTGTTATTATTATTATATGAGTACTTTTGATTTGAAAAATTTTTTTGATTATTCTCTATCTGCTCCTTAGGTTTATTGACTTTTTTTACCATCATATTTGTCACTTCATCCTCAGCCCTTTCCATTGCCAAAGCCATATTTAAAACCTGTTGAAAACTCACCATTTCTCCTAAGTCATTTATTCCATCTGGAAATCTAGTGCGAATATCTTTCTCCAATGCACTCATTTTGATTCCAGCCACCATCTGATCCCTCAATCTCCCATCTAAGTCAGATTCAAATTTACATTCTTGAGCCAATTTTTTAAGTCGAGCTGCAAACTCCGCAAATGATTCACCAACCCCTCTTTCTATCCGAATAAATTTTATTCTCGAGCTAAATAATGTTGAAATAGGCTTAAAAACTTTCTTACCAACTTCAATAATCTCTTCATAATTAAGATCTTTCAATATTTTTGGATAAACAAAGGACCTCATCTCTGCTAAATTACTAATACCCATATACGCAAATAATATTTTTTTTGTTTATTATTTATTAATATACCTCTTATCTCCAACATATCATCAATATATTCAATGTAATCAGCAAAGTTGTTTTGATTATCGAAATTATCGAATTTGATCATAATGTTATCATTTTTTTCTTCTTTATTCATAATTACTTTATTTTTGTCTTCTTTATTCATAATAAATCATCGACAACGTCGCCAATATACTAATTAGGTTTATTTGACTGGCAATCACCTCATGAAATATATTAATATATGATTGATTTGTATCTATGACATTTATATCATTGATAATATATATATATGACATTTATAACATTGATAATATATAATATAAATCTCATTTATAACAATAGTAACTAAAGCAAATTAACCTCATAAAATAATTTA